TAGTATAGCGGGTTTGGGTTTTAATGTCAACCCGGGTCCTAGATGTGATGACTACTCAGTGAATTCGTATTATCTAGCAATGAAACTTTAGTGAAGTTCTAAACTAACAAGCAAACAAAGCAACTAAACGTTTGTATTCAGGTTAAGAGAGGTCACCCGGATATGGTTCCCCCTAGTCTGCAGTTAAGCCGGATTGTAATTACCAAGTTCAATTTCTATGATAGTTATACTGCGGAAGGTTCTTAATCAGTCCGAAGTCTCGACTAAAGGTCTTCAGACCCTCTCAATCTGAGTCTCTAGCTGGCGACTAACCTACACCGGAGTAAACAGATTGAGGCCCTATGAACAAAACCTCCACTACCGAATGGAATTCGGTACAGAATAGTGAACTGGCTCCTCGACTAAAGTCACCAATTCACTACCTTCGATTAGGGATACTCTATCAACCTAGGCAGATATTATCATTCTAGGTTAAAGCAGAAACAACAGGAATTTGATCAGGATTCAAGTCATTCAATCATTCAAACCTCAATCGAATATAATCAAAATCATAGAATCAATACTTGGGTTCATACAATCAAACCTAACATACAGAACTAGGGTTTCCCATACCCTAGATGAATGGGGGAACTTACTCCATGGAGAGAGAAGCAAAAGCAGAATCAGACGCGGAAATCATACTGTGAAGATGGATTTCTGCTCCTGGACGTTGAATCGGCACTTCTCCAAGCTCAAACCAAGCTCCAATGGTGTTGAAGATCGATCTAGGGCACTTGGAGGCTCTTGTTCGTCGCTTTCTCTCTCTAGGAACCGCTCTGTCTCTCTAAAACTCGAATCCCCTTCTGTTTGGCTTCGGAATCCGCTTAAAAACCAATTCTCCCCGAGTTGCACGGCCAGGTGCACGGCCGTGCACTACACCATTCTGGTCGTGCAGCTCTAAAACGCATCGTATCCACTTAAGTCGACTCAGCCATCTTGCACGGCCAGGTGCACGGCCGTGCAAGTCTGGATTGTGCCCGTGCAAGCTCTCGCATCAACCCGCACGGCCAGGTTTGTATGTTGCACGGCCGTGCGGTACTCTGCTCTGCCCGTGCGTGGCCTCGGCATGAGTCGCACGGCCATATGGCTCAAGTGCACGGCCGTGCGGCTCCATGGTCTGGCCGTGCGGCTCCCCAACAAGCTCGCCCTTCGTCCGTTCGTCGTCCAATCGACCCCAGACTCGCTCCTAAGCCTTCATTCACGTACTAGGACCTGAAATAACACAAACAAGCACAACCTAGCGTGAAATCGGCCTAAAACACGAGAATCAACACCTCAAACGGAGTAAGAGCAGGGGTAAAAACATGTGTAACTAACGGTCTATCATTCTGCTAAATATAATGTGAGGGTTGGAGGTAGTTCTTAAAAGTTGGGCATGTGTTTGAAAAATGTGCAGAGGTGGTGGTTCTCTCAAGAAATGAAAAAAAGAATATGAATGAAGGCTAAAGAGAGCCACTACCAAAAATCTAAATCATGCTCATTAAGTAGTGTTTCTTAGCATTCTGGCGAAGAAATACTAACATTATTGTGACCTCCTTCGCTCTTGTGCTCTAAAGAATTTGAGTAATGCAGAATGGCAAAAAGAAAGTAACTGGTTTGATTTGCTGTGAATGTGCTGGGTTTGGAACCATGGAACCTTATCCTATGAATACTTCCACCACCTAAAAGGCTTTTTCCCTATGTTCAAGACCCTAGCCAGTCATTTGAACCTGTGTCTAAGACCTACGGATTAGTTAGTGATGACACCCAACATGTGAACTCTAACATTTAGAGGCTGCCATCATGGTGAAGAGACGTTAGGGATTGAGAGATTAAGCATGCACATTTTTCGCATCAAATTGTCCTGACCCCACTAGTCGAGAGTGAGCGATTCATTTCCTTGTTCTCTACACTCTTTACGCCGGTGAGGACCTAGATTGCTCGGTCTTGATTCTGATGTCTTGAGTTTTATGCATGAGGTGACTGTCTTGAATAAGTGGTTGAGTCGAGTCTATGTTGATTGGTGAACAGAAGGGAGACTCTTCCTTTACCCGGTTTTGCTGCACTCGAATGTCCTCAGTGGTGGTTGTCCATGTTGTTGTTGAAGTTGTCCATGTGTTAATGATCAAGAGCCAGTATGATTCATGTGTTCTGTGCCAATATGATTTGTCCCCAAGGGTTGCATGGTTAAAATGATGTGAGCTTACCTTGTATCTGACTTGGTTTGCTTGGGGACAAGCAAACGGTAAAGTGTGGGGGAATTTGATAGCGTCGTATTTGCATGTGTTTGCACCTATGTTTCCTGATCATTTTAGCTCGTATTTGTGGTTCCTTGGCCTATTTTACGCTGGGTTGTGTTGTTTTGCCATATCTCAGGTCCTAGCGAGTAAAGGAAGGTATAGGCGCAAGTTTCGGGTCGTTTGATGAGGCTGGAGCAAAAACACGGGCAACCCTGACAAAAACACGACCGTGTTCCTCAGGCCGTGTTTTTACTGCCGAGAGCGTGTCTGAGAGAGCTGCTGAGGTTCCAAAACACGGGCGTCAAAGGAGAAAACACGGTCGTATCACTTATGGAGCACGACCGTATTTTGGGAGCAACACGGGCGTGCCTGCCTTGCTTGGAGCAAAACACGGTCGTGTCCTCGACCGTGTTTTGTCCAGAAGCGGGGTTTTGAGGCAGATTTGAGCCAAAGGAGAGGGCACACAACTTTTTGAGCAGAAAAAAGAGTTTTAGAGAGAGAAAGGGCGAAGAACAAACCCTATGAGCTATTTGGAGTGGATTTCTCACCATTGAAGCTCAGATTGCATCCCCAGGAGTGAAGATCGAAAACCCAGAGCAGATTATCCCCATTCTTATGAGTATGAGTGCTCTGATTTCTGTTGTCCTCTCTCTCTCTCTATGGAGTAGAACCCTCTCTCACTTGGGTATGAAGAACCCTAGTTCCGTGTGTTAGGAATCTTGATTGTAATGACTTTAGATTGATATGTTGTTTAATTATAATCGATTGATGCATGATTCATTGAGTCAATTGAAGTCTGATCATCTTTTCTTGATTTATGCTGCAACCTGAGATAGATAGAATCTGATTAGGTTGTTAGAGCTTCATCAATCGATAGTAGTAGATTGGTTATACGAGAGTTAATCGATTTACTGCTTTGTACTGGAATCCAATTCCAGTAGTGGAGTTCTGTGTTTATTGCCTCAACAGTCTATCCCGGTGAAGGCTAGTCGCCTGCCAGTTAATTTGTCTGAGAGGGCTTGGTCAGCTTAAGAGATTCCAAGCTACTGTCGAATCTTCCGCAGTTTAATCAACAGTAAATCAACCAAGGGTAATTACAACTTTGACCTAACTAAGGAGCTAGGGGGACTCATTCCTGAGTGACTCTTCCCCTACTTAAGAATTTCGAACCATTTCCTTCTTTCTTACTGCTTTTGCTTAAAACCACATTCAATCAACCTAATTTGCTAGATAATAAATCATCACGGAGTAGGCAGTAGATCTAGACCCCGGGTTGATAAATTGAACTTGCCACTTTACTGCTTCGAGCTGCGATTACACTTGGTTGCAGTTTGGTGTTGTGTTTTAGCGTGTCGGTTATTCTTCAAGGGCAAGCACGACTGGAAGAACAATGGGACACCAAACTTGCTCGATTGGAAGCTTTATTGTCATTAATGCGCCAGCAATGATAATCCAACCGGAAGCTCCTTTGACAATAGGGGATCCAAATCCAGAGAAAGATCAAGACAATGAGGAGTATGAAGAAATCTCGCCTATGAAAGGTATACTTTTGGATACTTTTTGTGAAGAGTATGAAGATTTCGATGATGAGGAGGCGATAGAAGATGTTCTTGTTAATGAGCCAGCTTTGGGTGCGTCGGATTGTGAGCAATACATGGCGAAACTAAAAATCAATGGAGGAGATGAATGCATGAAAATTCAGGGGGGATTCATCAACTGTTCGAGAATATAATCATATTGATTTCGTGGTTGGCGATGCAATTTTCGAAGAGGGGGCACGCATGGAAAGGCGACGAGAATTGTAGAGCTATGTGGAAGGTGTTAATCAAAATGGAGTCTCTACAATTCGTGGACAAATTTTTTTTAAGAAGGGGGGTATGATACAATTATCGCTACCAAACTGATTTGGTTCGAACACCAAGAAGATGGGAGATGAACAGAGGTCGAGATTCTATAAAGATTCGACCTTCTTCAAAAGCGAGGAAATGATGCGATATCGACTAGCATGATATTTTATTCCTGCGGTCCAAAAGTAAAGATTCGAATCCGAGATATATGGATAAACGGTGAGCATTTAAGATGGATAAAATGATGTTATAGTTGTTGTCTATCACCACGATGAAATTGTGGTGCATGGTTTGGTTGGTGGAATTAATTCCACAAAAGACAAGTGCATGGGATGTTTATTTGCAATGCATTCATTCACATTATAAGGTTGGTCGGTGGGTTAAATTGAGAAGCAACCAGGTCATTTGAATTGGCTTCTCATAGTTCAAGTGGTGAAATCAGCCCACGTGACGACAATGGCGGCAGCTACAGAGGAACCAATTCCGTGATGGAAAAGAAAATGTGAAAGATGCGTGTCGTGTTATTATTTGTTTTAGTTGTTTAACAGTTTATTTAGTAGTTTTATTATTTATTTAACTAGTATTATGTTTTCTAGTTAGTTTGGGATTTGTTTTCCTATTCCTGATTTATGTTTTTATGACCTCTATAAATAAGAGTTATGAATTTTGTACCCAATATTCAAGTTATCAATTAAGAGTTTTTACTCGTTTTTCTTTGTGAACGTTTTGTGTAAGCTTCGGTCGAGAGTCTCCAGGAGTTTCACGTGTCTCTTATCAACTAGAGAACGAATCTAGTTGTGTCGAGCATCTACCCTATATCAATTGCCCCTTTTCACGAGTTGATTCTGTCCGATTGGTTTAATATACCAATTGCCATTTATCACAAGTTGGGATTGTCCGATTGATTCCACATCTATCTTTTATTTCAAGTTGTTCAAGTTGGAGAAAAGTTTCGAAAATCCTTTAAAAAAAGGAAGGTTGCATACTTTCGTCATATCATCTGAGTTGGAGGATTCTATTCGAATTTGGATACATATATGTGGACCAAAATTGAAAGGTTTTCAAACTTAAAAGCTGCCGGTAGATTATGAACATGTGGAAAATGCTATTGGGCTGAAGCAGCAATTGAATTTGAATGCCCCTAATTAGCTTCCTCCTACATCATCATCTTCAAATTGATGGCAGAGGATAGTTGTGCCACAGCTTCGGCAGTGGTCAAGTACACTAAATCTGCCCTCAGAATGATGCTCCCAGCTGCTTCACTCTCTGCTCTTTCCAGCTTCTCAATCACCTCGCCAATAGGATTCACCAGTACAAGCTGATATATAACACAGCATATACATGTTCTTGATTATTCATTAATCTTGAATCAAGATTAAACGCAAAGAAAAAAAAATCTTAGGAAGATAGATAGATGGTTTACCTCAACTCCTTTACATTCTAGTGCTTTCTTTAAATCCTTGAACAGTGTGACACCGGTTGTGTCCAAAGCACTCACACCTAAGTACATGTAATTAAATAGGAAATGTCAACTCAATTGGAGGTCTTAGTCAATTGTCTAAACTCAATTTAAACATCCATTGATCCAATGATTTAAACTAATCCACATAATTTTGGGTAGCATAGTAATTAGAATTTTTCTTAATGTTATTTTCCTTTAATTCCCTTGAGAGATTCAGTTTTTCCAATCTTTTGCATCTTCTTTCCCCATTAAACTAGTCTATTTTGTAACGGAAATAACTCTATTTGTAAGCTAAATTATACTTTTGGTCACTCAAATTATACAAATCTTTCACATTTGCCACTCAAATTACTTTTCTTTCTGATTTGTCATTAACTTTATGTATCGTTTCACCATTAGTCACCAGCCGTTACTTTCCGTTAAATTTGTCCTACGTGGCGGTCAACTATAAAGTTTGACTGTTAACTAGATTATGTGGAAATTAAAAATAATTAAAAAATAAATTTATTTTTCCACCTCATCATTCACTTATTTTGTTTATGTGATTTATCATATTAATAATGTAATAAAAATAGATAAATTACAAAAATTAATTATGAAGAACTGGAGAGGGCTCGGCATTGAGGGATTTGGCCGCCTAGCGACTCCTCCACTCCAGCAGCAATGGCCCTTCTCCTCCATCGCTTCCCCAACCCCGAATACTTCGATCTCCTCCGTTACGACTCTGTCTGCCTTTGTCCACCAAAGGGTTGGCATCGGAAAGATGAACGAAGGGCTGGCGAAGACGAATCAATAGATGGAAAGTGACAACAGTGGAGCTGCTGATGCGATGATGATGAAATTTTTTATTGTAATTTCCCTGAGGATGCCGATTGGAGGAACCTCTTGGGCTGTCGATGGCGACCGTTCAACCGTGATGCTGGAGGAAATTGTGGTGAGGGTTGTTGCCGGAGGTGGGGGGTTGGATCTAGTTACAAGTCGGTGGAAGTGAGGACGGCTTCGGAGATGGAGGAAGCGGGGGAAGGGGAAAGTTGGTTTTCGCTTTGTTTTCGTGCAGGGAGCGGGCGGCGAGGGCAGCGTCAGCGATGGGGGAGACGAGGCCGACCTCTTGCGACGGCGCCGCCGTAGGCGAGGGCGGCCTCTTCCACGGCCAATTCCCGGTGCCTCTGTAGCGGCCTTTTGTTATTTTATTAATTTTTATTTATTAAACAATTAATATAATAAATAAAGTAGAGTGAAATGAGTATGTGAAAAAGTATTTTTTTAATTTTAATTTTCATGTCATCTAGTTAACGGTCAAACTTTATAGTTGACTGCCATGTAGGACAAATTTAACAGAGTGTAACGGTCGGTGACTAATCATGAAATAATTCGTAAAGTTAGTGGCGAATTAAAAAGAAAACTAATTCGAGTGGCAAATATGAAAAATTGTATAATTCGAGTGACCAAACCCTATTTGTAATATAAATCCTTTTGATTTGTATTGTAAGTTGTTATAAACGCGCAGCTACGGATCGGGAAATCGTCGGAATCGATAAAGCAAGAATACGAAAGCGAGAATAAAAAAAATATAGACACACGATTTACGTGGTTCACTAACACAATGTGTGTTAGCTAGTCCACGGGCGAGAGAGAGCCAGTTTCACTATATCGAGGAGATTACAGATTATAGAGGAGTATGAGAAGTATTTATAGTACTTCTCCATGTGGGTCTAAACCTAATCCAATCTGGCAAAGGAAACCCCCGACTACCAGTCGGAGCGGCTGATAGTCCGATTCAAGTCACATCAACAAATCTCCACCTTGACTTGAATCCTCTTCCTCTGAAATCTCTGATGTACTCTGCTTCTTCTCTCTCTCTCTCCCGCCATCAATGCCCCGCAGGGCCGAGTCACCCACTCAAGACATTCAGCAAGTCCAAGCAGTGTTGGAACTTGCCATGTGGAAATGGCTTCGTGAACATATCAGCAGGATTATCCGCGGTGCCAACCTTCTTCACCTTAATCCTCTTCTCTGTCCCCAAGAAATGATACCTCACGCCAATGTGTTTAGTCCTCTCATGGTAGACTTGATCCTTGGCCAAGCATATTGCACTCAAACTATCGCAATACACCACTGCCTGATCATGATGTAGACCCAGATCACCACTCAGTCCCTTCAACCATATTGCCTCCTTAGCAGCTTCTGTCAACGCCATATACTCTGCCTCAGTAGTAGACAATGTCACCGCCGACTGCAGAGTTGTCTTCCAGCTCACTACAGAACTCCAAGAGTGAATACATAACCGGTCATCGATCTCCTCGTGTCAACATCTCCAGCATAGTCCGAGTCAGAATACCCATACACCAAGCACTCTACATCACTTCCGAAGCTAATCCCCACATCAGGTGTACCCTTAAGGTATCGGAAGATCCTCTTCACAGCCTGCCAATGCTCCTTTCCAGGTTGTATCATGAACCTGCTGACAACACTAACAGCATGTGCAAGACCAGGTCTAGTGCATACCATAGCGTGCATCAAGCTACCTACTGCACTAGCATATGGGACTCTCGACATGTACTCCTTCTCAGCCTCTGATTGCGGTGCATAAGCTGATGATAGATGAACATTTGAAGCACTAGGAGTATTTAAGGGCTTTGCTGAAGACATGCCAAACCTCGACAGTATCGTCTGGATGTAGCTCTTCTGTGACAAGAAAAGCTTCTTCTTCGACCTGTCCCTGTAAATCTCCATACCCAAGATCTTCTGAGCAGCTCCCAAATCCTTCATCTCAAACTCAGCACTGAGAAGCCCCTTTAACTTCGGGATATCAGACTTCGACCTCGCAGCTATGAGCATATCATCCACATACAGAACAAGATAGATCCTCGAACCATCCTCCACCTTGTTGTGATAGACACAACAATCATATGGACTTCTGCTGTAGCTCAGCTCAAGCATGTAACTGTCAAATCTCTTGTACCACTGCCTCGGAGACTGCTTAAGTCCATACAAGGACTTCTTCAGCTTACAAACATAGTCTTCTTTTCCCAGAACCTCGAATCCTTCTGGCTGAGTCATGTAAATTTCTTCTTCCAACTCTCCATGCAGGAAAGTTGTCTTCACGTCTAGCTGCTCGAGCTCCAAGTCATAATGTGCTACTATTGCTAGTAGCACTCTGATCGAAGTATGTCTGACCACTAGTGAGAAAATCTCATTGTAGTCAACTCCTTCCCTCTGCGAGAAGTCGCTTGCAACCACCCGAGCTTTAAATTTCATGCCCTCTTTAGAAGTGATTCCTTCCTTCTTCTTGTAGATCCACTTGTTTGTAACAATCTTCCTTCCCTGTGGTCGTTTGACTAGCTCCCAAGTCTGATTCCTGTCATGGGATTCCATCTCATCTCCCTTTGCGGCAAGCCACTGATCATGGTGGCGTATTCATTTCAGGTTGTTGAAGAAGTGGATGCAGGTGAGTCACAGTCCTATAGAGAAACCATACCTCTCTGGAGGTACTCCTGCAGTCGCTCTCTTTGGTCTACTGGAAGCTATAGACTGTTGAGCTCCTGCACTGGACTTTGAAGTTTCTGGCTCTATAGAAACATCCTCATGTTGATCTTCTCCACCTTTGCTCAAACTCAGTCTCATTGAGAGTTTGCAGCTCCACCTGCTTATCAACATTCCTACTACCTTCAACAACAGTAACCTTCAACATGGGGTTAAACATAGACTTCTCATCAAATATCACATTTCTACTAAGTATAAGTCGATGCTCAGAAGGTGACCAGACTCGAAATCCCTTAACTCCATCTCTGTAACCCACATTTACACCCTTCTTTGCCCTTGGGTTAAGTTTACCCTCATCCACATGATAATATACAGGACACCCAAAAACTTTCAGTGAAGAGTAATCAGCAGGCTTACCATACCACACTTCATAAGGAGTCTTAAACTCGATACCTATGTGAGGTCCACGGTTGATCAGGAAGCACGCCATGTTCACTGCTTCTGCCCAGCATCTTCTCTTTAGTCCAGCATTAGAGAGCATGCATCGTGCTCTCTCCAATAATCCCTTCATCCTTGCAGAATTCGTTGAACTCGGAATTATAGAACTCCAGACCATTGTCCGTTCGCAGCTTCTTGATCTTCTTCCCGGTCTGATTCTCCACCAATGTCTTCCACTACTTGAACTTCGTGAAAGCCTCACGTTTCTGCTTCATCATGAAAATCCAAGTAAATCTTGAATAATCATCAATAATAGACAGAAAATACCTGCTGCCTCCAATGGATTCAACTCGTGAAGGACCCCAACAGTCGGAGTGGAGGTAATCCAGTATCCCCTTCGTCCGGTGGATACCCTTCTTGAGAAACTTGCTGCGATGTAGCTTCCCAAACACACAATGCTCGCAGAATTCAAAACTTTGCACCTTATGCCCGCAAAGAAGATCCCTCTTCGAAAGAACTTGCATCCCTCGTTCACTCATATGCCCTAGTCTCATGTGCCAAAGAGTGGTCATATCTTCCTGATGAACCTAAGACGATGCAACTGCAGCAGAACTAGACAACACAGACCCTTGTAATGCATACAAGGTCCCACGCTTCACGCCCTTCAGCACCTTCCTTGAACCTTTGCAGACATATACAACTCCATCCTTTCCTTTGAAACTGAAACCCTTGCTGTCGAGTAGACTCAAGGAGATCAGGTTCTTTGTCATTCGTGGAACATGCCTGACATCATTCACGGTACAGAACGAACCATCATGTGCCCGAACCTTTATGGATCCGATTCCAACAACCTTGCAGACAGCTCCATTTTCCATGACCACGTTACCACCATCTATCTGCTCGTACGTTGTGAAGCAATCCCTGTTCAGAGACATATGGTATGAGGCTGCAGTATCCAGAAACCACACCTCCCCACGATGTGCCTTCTCATCTACAACTAAGGCGAGATCGTCTTTAGAACTGTTGTCCACTTCTGCCACGGCAACTGAACCTTGTTTCTTCTGTTACCCTCTTCTCTTGGGACAGTTGTACTTCCAATGCCCCACTTCCTTACAGTTGTGACAAGCATCACCTGGCTGTGGACCGGGACCCTTGGAATTCTTGTTCGAATTCCCTTTACCAGATTTCTTCTTTCCATTTCCACCTGTAACAGCCAAACCCGATGCCTCACCACCTGCACTAGATCCAGACGCCTTATGCTTGATCTCTCTCGTATGAAGAGCAGACCTGACATCCTCCAACAACACGCTTTCTTTACCAGCAATAAAAGAATCAACAAAATTCTCATATGAACTCGGCAAACAAACCAGTAGGATTAGGGCAGCATCCTCATCATCAACTTGAACATCTATATTACGCAGATCCAGCAAAATAGAGTTAAGCTGTTCGAGATGTTCTCTCAAAGGCGTACCTTCTTGCATCCTCAAGCTGAACAACCGTTGCTTGAGATGCATCTTGTTGGTTAAGGACTTCGTCATATACAGACTCTCCAACTTTAACCACAAGCCTGCGGCAGTCTTCTCAGCAGCGACTTCAATGATGACGTCATCAGACAATGATAGCATGATGGTCGAGTGGGCCTTCTCCTCCAGGGTATTCCACTCATCGTCATCGACCGCTGCCTTCTTCTGTTTCGCAGACAGCGACCCCCACAGCCCTTGCTGTTTTAATAAAGCCTGCATCTTGATCTGCCATATAGCGAAGCTGTTCTTCTCCGTGAATTTTTCGATCTTCATGTTCACCTACGTCATTCTTCTGAATCGAAAAACCCTAGCTTGATTTCCAGCCGCGGCTCTGATACCACTTGTTATAAACGCGCTGCTATGGATCGGGAAATCGCCGGAATCGATAAAGCAAGAATACGAAAGCGAGAATAAAAAAAACACAGACACACGATTTACGTGGTTCACTAACACGATGTGTGTTAGCTAGTCCAGGGGCGAGAGAGAGCTAGTTTCACTATATCGAGGAGATTACAGATTACAGAGGAGTATGAGAAGTATTTATAGTACTTCTCCATGTGGGTCTAAACCTAATCCAATCTGGCAAAGGAAACCTCGACTACCAGTCGTAGTGGCTGATAGTCCAATTCAAGTCACAACAACAGAAGTTAATCTAACTTGTAAGTGAGGAAGAGTTTGTAATGGAAGCCAATCAGGTTTCTAAAGAATATGAGTTTGGTTTGTAATGGAAACTGTCTGGTTTTCACATTGGTGGTTTGTAATGGAAAAGTCAACCTGATTTGTACCAGCAAAGCAGTCTAGTTTGTGATTACAAAACCAAACTTTTCATTTTAAGTGTGTGGTTACAAAACCATAAGGTATCAATTTTAAAAGGCTTGGATTAGTGTACAAAATCCTATAGTTGTGTAGTTCTACAAAACTATAATCAATGACTGAGATTGAGAGGGAAGGGATCTAATGACCAACTCTATAGGAAGGGGGGGTTAAGAAGGGAAGGATAGAGAGGAGAGACCTGATCACTAAATTTGTGGGACAGTTGACCAGATTTGTGGGGGTTGTTGCGAATTTTGAGGTTGTTATTAAGGCAGTTTTCATAGCTTCTATGAAATTTCAAAGAACCATAGCTCATTCATTTTACATTGAATTTCAAAAAATTAACATAGATAAATCATATTTTTTGTGCTCTACATGATGATACCCGTTTTGATATTTTTTTAAACAAAAAATTTATAGGTCATCATACCACTATCATATCACGATATTATCACTAACATTGATATGATATCATAGTGGTATGACACTGATATTATGTTGTTATGAGGTAGTATGTTTGACAAAACATAACAAATAAATATCATTACGCATATCCTAATTAATGATGGTGGTATGATAGTGATATGATGTTAGTATGAGGTCTTATTTCATGATATTATCTCAATGGTACACATAATAATATTATGATATGACAGTGATATGATTTTGGTATGAGGTCTTATGTGTGACAACACATAACAAAATGAATATCGTTGTGTAGATGTTAATTAATGCATTTTTTCTATACAATTTATTTTAAATTTTGAGTTAAAATGAAGGAGATGAGTCATAATACCACTGTCATATCATGGTGACATTATAATGGTAATACTACAACCGACACATGTTTTGAAGAGTTAATTTTTTTTCTTTGCTCAAAATATAAGGAAATGGATATCATTGTGTAAATCATAATTAATGCGTTTTTTATGCGAAAAATTCAAATTCCGATTTAAAATGAATGTTATAGGGTGTGATAAAGAAAAATATGATATTAGGAAAAGTAATTTATGTCTCCGTGTCAGACAATGCAAAAGAAATATCAAAGAGGTGACAGAATTATGAGTATGCCCCTCATACTATTTTTGTTGTTGGTAATTAATTTGTGTCCTTGGGTGGATAATGGAATTGAGGGTAAAACATGAGGTTTTGTAGAGGTTTTGTAGGATAGGATTTTGTTTGTATTCTAATTTTTAATGAAGAAAGAGGATAGTATTCTCATTCTTCTTTCACATGTGATTGTGAAATAGGAGTTGAGGAGAAAGCCTGATTTGTCCCTCCGTATCAGGTTGAATGAAAGGACAAACATGAACATACTTTTTTTATTATTATTATTTGAATTGAATTGAAATGAATTAGCGTGTAATTTCTTACATGACATGTCGAGGATCACATAATGAAGAGAAGTAGTTGAATGTTGCTTGATGCCTTGAAGCTGATGGTGGTGGGTAATATGATCTGCTTCATAATCTGCCATCCATCTCATAATCCTGCAATGAATGAATCAAGGTCAGTGATAGTTAGTATTGTTGTGTATGTTAATGTATACCAGTAGTAACGACAATGGTTGGTTACCTTTCTTTGAGGTAATTGGCGTTGGCAAAGTTGATGGGAGCTTGAATGGACAAGATGAGGAAACCTGGGACACTAACAGCATCTTTGTAATGGTGGAGGTTTGTGTAGAGATTAGTTCCAGGAATGTTCCCCAGCACCATTGTAGTTGGCCTTGTCATTTGCAGCAACATCCTGAAGATGGACATTCCCACCTGCAAAGCAAAGCAATTATTTGATGAAACGTTTACATGAGATGAGATCTTGGGTTGGGCGGGGCCCACTGGACTGGACTGGGGTTGGTGGGCCGGACCGCAATGGCGAGGCCCAGCTGGACGGAGACGAAGATGACGCCGAAGAAGGAGGCGAGCATGACGAGGAAATCGAACTTGTCGATCCTCCAGATCCGGCGAGCGGCGGGGAGGTCGATGAGGCCGAGGACGGCGGTGACGATGATGGCTCCGAGGACGACGTTTGGGGTGAAGCGGAAGAGGGGCATGAGGAGGAGGAGCGTGACCATGACGGTGACGGACATGACGACGTTGGAGACGGCGGTCTTTGCGCCGGCGTTGTGGTTGACGGCGGAGCGGGAGAACGAGCCGGTGGTGACGTAGCAGGAAGTGGAGGAGCCGATGATGTTCATGATCCCGATGGCCATCATCTCCTTGTTCCCGTCCACTCGGTAGCTCTTCAGCGCCGCAAACGTCCGCCCCACCGCTATCCCTTCCTGCATCCATCAAACCATTCAATTCAATTCAATTCAATATTTATTTATCATCACTTAGCTTTAGCTACTTTAGCTTTAGCTAGCTAGTGAGGGATTCGATTTTCGGTTCGGTTCGATTCGATTCAATTTAATTCGATTTCATTCGATTCGACTGACAGTGAGGGAGATGATGCCAGTGACAAGCCCAGTCTTGATAACAAGGCCAAGGTATTCTCCACGGAAATGCAACATGTTCCACGATGGAGGATTCAGCCCTTCTTCCAACTTCCCTATCTGTAGTAATAATATAATAATAATAATATTATTATTACATTAGATTAGCATGCCATTACGTACCATCAATAATTCAATAGTAATATGTGGATGCAAAAATATTCAGAAACTATATATAAATAAATAAAAGAAACAGAAAGGCTCACTAGAGAAGAGAGATGCATATATAATATACGTACAACATCGATGCCATGATTTTGAGCTTTCAAGGCAAAAACGATGATGGTTGAGAGGATGACAGACGCAAGGGGCATTCCAGCTGATACCCAGAACAGCTTTGGCCTCTTCATGCTCTGCTCCATTACACAAACACAAACACAAACACAAACATATATAGATTAGATACCTATGCGTGCGCTTCACAACTCTCAACCCGTACTACATTAATAAAACCCTTTATAGTGACATTTTTATCACGACAATTTTTAAAAATGTCGTTCAAGTGTGAGTGACAAATAGTTGTGTCGTCACTTATTTGAAATTTCGACAAAACATTTTTTAAAGCGACGTATGTTGAAATAGTTTTTGTAAATGTTGACCAATCATCAAATTGGATGAATGTATGGCGTCATTCATAAAAAACGTCAAAATACGTCAACATTTACAAAAACTATTTCAACATACATCGCTTTAAAAAATGTTTTGTCGAAATTTCAAATTGGATGAATGTATTATTTTGCCTCGACATAAGTTACGATAATTTTGACAAATGTTGCTTAATTCACAAATTAGGGGAGTGTATTGCGTTATTTACAAAAAAAAATGTCGGAATAATCATATATTATATGACGTAACTGTGATAAATTTGATAAATTTCTTTTAATTTACAAACTGCATTGGTGTTTTCCGACATTTATAAAAAAAATGTCAAATTATTTATATTTTATACGACATATATTTCGACTACTTTTGCAAACGTCATTTAAAATTGGAAGTTAGATAACATATACCGTCATTTATAAACATGTCAGAAATATGTATATTCATAATTCATAATTTATAATTATAAACATTCTCATCTTGACACTATGATTCCAATATCCACGTCCATATATACATCAATTAGAAACAGCAGTGATCGAGTATATTATAAAACAGATGGTCGTCGATCGTGATTTTCTGTAAGTTTCAATCTCCAAATTAATCCTTAATATAATTAATTCCATCAGCATTTAATGTCGTTTGGTGGGGACGCATATGATAGAAATCTAATTAATAGCGCTCATCATTGCTTGGGATACCTTGAGTAAGGTAACTCACCTAAGTAACTAGATCAGAACTTTTAGATCTAATTGGATTTTGAAAATCTAGATTTAAAGGTTGTGAATTAAAAACATTTTATTTTTCTTAATTTCTTAATTGACTCTTATCTTCTTTGTTCTAACTCGGGTTTTATTTTTCACAGATGGAACGAGTTCGTTGTGCTTTACAAAATGAGATTAATTTTCAATATATGTCGAGAAACTTTTTTTCATACCTCCCGTTACCAACTACATACCATATGGTAACTTCTTCATTTTTAAGTCGTTTTTGAAAACGTTTGCTTAGAAGGAACGAGTTCATCATGATCTATTGGATCTGCAAATTTCTGGGTGAAAAAAATAAAGAACCGAAAATTACAATACTTTACCACTCTGGTATGTGGGTGTTAACTTGTGGTAAACAATGATCAAAGTCGTAAATGACAGTTAGTATACTCATACTATCATGTATTCAACCTTCCTACAGTATTAGTATGTTCATACCATCATGGTACGCTTTCTTACCATATGGTATTAAATAGGAGCATTAGCATACCATATGGTATTGACTAGTAAAAAATGGCTTTTTTTTTTTGTTCTAAAAATATATCAAAGTGGATATCATTTTAAAAAGCACAATTAATCTGATTTATCTTTGCAAAAAAAATTAAATTCTGACTTAAAACGAGAGAGAAATCGTCCGTTAAAGATTAAAGAGGAAAAGATAAAAGGCTTTCCATTAGAGAGGGATGTTGATGTCGAAGTGGACGGATTACTCATGTTTACTTATCTGATCCCATCCGCTCCCATCATTCTTGGAGCGGGTGTTCGAATAGAAGATGTCGGACTTGCAATATGGGTTCCCATCTCTTATTGTCAAAAAGAATTTTTTTTTTAAGTTTCTTTATTTAATATAAAAATCATCCAAATCAGCTTACAAATCAGCACGGTCAACACGTTGACTATTGACCACTAACCGTTAATGTTAACAAAATTAGCCTAGACAATCGTTTAGGATAGGATTGAAATATTGAATATAAAATAGGACACAAATGATATTGTTTTATAGTTCGACTTTTGTAGTGGCATTACCACTAAATTTTATATATGGTGCTATCGTATATTATATAAATAGAAAATATGACATACTTTAGATCAGGAAAACAAATATAACCTTGAATTGACCGGAATTTGAGACATAATCATATACCCAACCCTTAAAAATTAAAATCTATGTCTTAATTTTATAAATCTTACACACTAAGAGGTATGGAGTTCCCTAGATTTTGCTTGAGCATGATAGAAGGCACCCTATATGAATATTTTCGATTATCTAAATGATGAACTTTAACCCCCATACTGGCCTCTGTTGGACCCAGTGTGGATATAGAGTATGACATATCTTTAGTAAGAAAACGTTATCTAGACCTTGAATTAACCGGATTTTTGGCATAATATTATACACTAACACTGACTTTTAATGAGTGAATCCTGGGTTCTAATTATCTAAAGGATGAACCATAAACCATACATATATACACACACTTGATGTATAATATACGACTGCTTTCACATTTATTAGTTGTAGTTCGAGTCGGCTTTTTATATTTATTAAATTGGTCTTATGGTTTGAGTTTATAAAATAAGATGATGTGATTTGCCCATTAATCAGATTAAGAGTGTAGGATTTGTAGATTGGAATCTAGGATATGTAGGGATGGCAAAAATATTCGTAACCGTGGATATCCGCCTGAATCCGACCTAATCGGGTAGGATAAAACTCGAACTCGAAGGACTTTTAGCGGTTACGGGTAAAATCCGAACCCGAATATTGCGGGGAATGGGTGGGCATGGTTTTCTTCTCACTATCCAACCCGAACCCGCCCGATTATACACATGCATATGTACTTTGTCTATAAATATTCATTATTTTTTCTAACATATTTTATATTTAGCAATATAAATATAATATTTTCATGAAATTGTGTTGTTTTAATTAATTTTCTTCATTCTAGTGAATTATTGTCGTACTTTTCTTCTGATGTAATGTGAGAATACACGTGTATGTTAACATATTTGTTGGAGTTATAAAGAGAAATTAGTAGTCATGGATAACCGTAGATACCCGAAACCCGAACGGGTATAGGTATGGTTTTGATTTTCTACCCTTATATTATGTAGGTATGTGTTAGAAACCTATTTCTAGGGTTCTAACGATCGAGTTGATGAGATTGGAAATTGATAGGTATTTAGAGGATTGAGATAGAATTGGGGAAGAACAGAATTGGGAATTAGGGATTTAGAAGAGGAAATTGGGGATCGAGGAGAAGAATGGTCGTCGGCCTAGGGATAGGTGACGAAATTGAGAGAGATTAGGGTTTGAGATACTTTTCTTAATAATTGTTCTTGCTTGATTCTGAATAAAACGCAAAGTACATATTTATAACAAAAGATAAGAAAACCTAATACTAAACCTAATTCTACTAAAAGACTACTAACCATATTTAATAAAACCTAATAATAATGATAATATAGAAACTCGTTTTCCTTAGAAAACGTGTTTCTAACATCCCATCCCCCTTGAGACCAACCTTGCCCTCAAGGTTAATCAGTTTGACCCATTTCTTCAAGCCTACCGTGCAATCCACGTCTTGCCTCCTCCATTCTTGCGCTTTCTTTTCTTCCAATCGTGCTCCACTACTCGAATGAAGCCCACTCCATATAAAAGTGATCTAACCAAGGGGCCCATTTGAAGCCCAACTCTTTCTTGAAGACTTGACTCATCTGTTCTTTGAACCCAGCTGTTCATTTTATTATTGAGCCCGGACCGAATTACTTGTTCGGCCCATCTTTGTTGGTCTCCTTTTAGCACACACCCATGCCCTTTCTTAGCCCAATTATTTTGTAGCTGCGGCCCAATCTGCAAATCCCGTTGGCCTAAAACAAGCCCATCCACTCGGCCCAACTGAAAGGGCTGCTCCTATTCTGCTCCTTGGCCCAAAGAAGGCAAACTAGGGTTTGCAAGAAGAGAGGTGGCTCCCTCCTCTGCGTCACCCGCCGCCAGCCGCGTCCTCCCTGTCTCCTCCCCCTGCACTCCCTCTCCCGGCGGTGCCGCCATCTGTTTGGCCTACTCGTCGGTCAGGAACAGGGGACCACCGCCCTCTTCCTCCGTCTCTCTCTTTTCTTCCGCCGGACGAAACTCCTTCCCCGGCGGTGCGTGGGAAAGCTCCCCGCCGTCTTCTATTTGCGCGGTCCGCGACCCTTTGGACAGCCCACGACATCCGATTGCGGCGGGCACCACGGGGCGCCGCTCGGCCCTCTCCTCTCCCGTGCGCGGCGCGGCCTCGACTACCGCGGGGTGCTGCTGCTCGGCCCGACCTCCTCCAGCGCGCGGCGCGGTCTCGTCCGACGAAGGGGGGCGCGCGATTGGGGCGGCGCCAGACAGCTCGACCGCCGGCTCTTCGGGCAGCCGACGACGGCCGATGCGACGGGCTCTGTCCCCCAATTCTGCCCACGACAGGTTCGAGAGCTTTGAAGAGCTCATCGTCGAACCAGTTGTAGAAATCGTCCTCGGTTGAGAGTTGTGGTGAACTCAATTCTCGAAACCGGGCTCTGATACCAAATGTTAGAAACCTATTTCTAGGGTTCTAACGATCGAGTTGATGAGATTGGAAATTGATAGGTATTTAGAGGATTGAGATAGAATTGGGGAAGAACAGAATTGGGAATTAGGGATTTAGAAGAGGAAATTGTGGATCGAGGAGAAGAATGGCCGTCGGCCTAGGGATAGGTGACGAAATTGAGAGAGATTAGGGTTTGAGATACTTTTCTTAATAATTGTTCTTGCTTGATTCTGAATAAAACGCAAAGTACATATTTATAACAAAAGATAAGAAAACCTAATACTAAACCTAATTCTACTAAAAGACTACTAACCATATTTAATAAAACCTAATAATAATGATAATATAGATCCTTAGAAAACGTGTTTCTAACAGTATGGGTATGGATAAAACCCGAACTACTTTAACTAGGGTAATGGCTATGCACTATCCGCCCAACCCGTTGTCATATTTGCATATTAAAATTGAATGGTAGCATATATAGAACAAATAAAATCTTGTTTTGTTTTGCGTAGTATATATGGTATTTAAAATTAAAACAGATGACAAATTCGGAAAACTTACTACGTGTCTTGCTACTAGGAGGACAGCAAGGAAGCAGAAACCCATGAGTATGGTTTGCCATGACCACTGCAATTTTGATCACCAAATAATGATTAGGGAACAGACAACGTATTATAAGATATATATTTGTATTTAACTACACAGTCATGTGGAACTGGAAACAGCAAAAGAAAAGAAGGGCCAAAAATAAATAGGGAAAGTAAGTATACCTCAGTAGTGCGGTGGAATACTGAGGACAAAACAGGAAGAATCCCCATTTGCTTGGTGAAATGAGTGATTCCAAGCAAGCTTTTCAGCTGTTGCAGTGATACAATAATGGCAGCTCCTGCCATGAACCCAACCAGTGTGGCCTCTGACAGATAATCAATTATAAACCCCAGCCTGATGATGAATTATTGCATCAGAAAGAAAAGGGTATTATCACAGTTGCTTGCCAGGAACAAAATAAAGACAAGCTAACAAATAATTGTAGGTGTTGGCTTGCCTTAGGAATCCCAAGGAAGCCTGTGTGAGGCCAGCAAAGAAAGTGGAAGAAAAGCCGAGCTGAAGGAACAAGAGAGGGTCTTTGGCAGGGGAGACTTGTTGGCTAAGCATGGATCCCAAAATGAGTGAAGCTATGGACACAGGCCCCACAGCTACATCCCTTGAGCTCCCCAGCACAGCATACACCAATGGCGGCACAAAGCTCGAGTACAGTCCCACAATCGGCGGCAGGTTGGCCAGCTTCGCGTAGCTTATGCCCTGCCGCAACATAACTCGAGTGGTTGGGAGAAGAAAGAAAGAAAGAAGACCAAGTTGGGAATTAATGGTAAAACAAGCTTACCTGTGGGATGGCTAAGCTGGCAATGGTGAGGCCAGAGACGACATCGGATTTGAAGTGTGAGAGTGAGTAGTTGGGTCCCCATTGCAGGATTGGGAAGGCATACTGAGCAGCCAGAATCCACTTCCGTTTGGAAGGCTGGCCTTTGAACTGCCTCAGAGGGTCGTCAGGGAAGAATGTTTCCTTCAGCCTGGACTTCAACTTCTCAAAGCTGCTTCTCTGTGGCGGTGGGGCTACTTTGTGGACGTCTATGGAGCATCTCGATATCTCTTTCTTACTTGTTTCCTCCTCACCATTGTTGATCGGATCCATGCTTCGAGTCCAGTGTGTATAGCTAGTTCCAATTATTATGTGCTATATAGGCAGGGGAATAAAGAAGCTGTCGTCTGTGTCCTACTCAGAACAGAGAGCACTAGAGAACCCAACAAGCAGAAAAAGTCGGGGAAAAAAGAGAAAAAGGAAAGATGAGATCCTTGAGGTGACCTGACGTTTATTGAAAAGATGGAGCAAGGGAATTGGGATCTTCAACCTTATCAAGAAGACACCACCACTATCCCATTCCCACCCACCCACTGTTCTTGTTTTTGTGGGACTCACTAGACTGCTTGAGTTGGATTAGATTCATCCTTCCTTCGTGAGCAGATTTATGTTTTATTCTTAGTGAAGGTCAGTGCTGTTTGTGACATCAACTTTCGGCAACTTTTTTATGGAATGGACCAGTGTTGTTGTATAACTCCGATCAAGGATGTCAGTACTAATAATTGAGAGCGTTTCATTTGTAAATCAACATAGTGTTTCCTCGCATCACTGAATTGTTGGGGAGCCAAAGCAAAATCGACATTCGAGGAAATAAAACAATACAAAAACTGAACAACTAAACCAAATGTATTTTTCATTCTTCCAGTGTGAATGTACAATGAATGGGGCTATGTCAAGTAAAACCTCCCTGTGACTGACTCTGACTACCGTATCTTTCTAAGCAGAGATGGGAAGGGCCTCTTGAGCTTGCGATGGCACACAACACCTAAATGATCAGACATAATTTACACACTCTGCATTTGAACAAACAAACAAACAAACAAAACCAACAAGATAAAACACCCTCCCCTCGGCCATCCTATGAATGTTACAGCTTTACTTTTGGTTAGGGTACAAAGGAAGATCTTCTGCCTCTGCCTGCCTGCCTGCAGCTGACCTTAACAAACAATCACAACTTTCCTTTCTCCTATCCCCAACTTCATCTCCATGTGCATGTACAAGATGATCGGTCATGGTTCTGGTCAACATATGACCGGCCCCCACATTACTACCACAAGCCCTGCAACCCACCATTGAATTCAAACTTCCCCAGGATTTGTTTGCCAGGGTTTTAAAGATATAATGAGAGAATCACAACCATGCTGAAAAAAGTTGGAGAGTCAGCACCAGCAGCGAGCTAAACATGTATTACTAATTTACTTCCTGATCAAAGAAGAAACCAACCCACCCAAAAATTCTCTATACTGCCTTGTTCATCCGGCACATGCAGTCAGGGCATGGATGAGAATATACCGAGTCATTCATTCTCTTGAATTCAAACCCCTTGGAATCACTGTGAGACCGCATGTTCAACATTTGTCGTTTGAAAATCTTCCATCTGGGTATTATGCAAGGAATCGGGCAAGATATCAACACAGAATGCATCAAGAGCGCCGCGGAGCTGCTTTTATCTTAATTTCTTGATAAAGTATGAAAATTCAAGTCTCGAGTAACTAATTTTCAGCAGGTCCTCTTGCTCGGTTAACTGACGCTTGTTTACTGATGGAAAGCGAAAGGGGGAACACTTACCCTAAGGATGTATTATCAAGCAGCAGAGCTAACTTCCGCTTATCTGGCCTAATTGTCTTCGCATGTCCACCATACAAGAATCTCCGATGGCCTAACAAGAAATGAGGGAAGTTGCCACCTTGAGTTGTCACAAACACCTCACTGTGAAGGCAAACAGTGTAGTCTAGTGCAGCCATCCTGGAAGAGAAATTCTGGCAGAGTAGGAAGTCAAAGAGTTAACATTGGAAAGACTATCCCAAAAGACAAACTACTCACACATTCAACAGAAATAATAAGTAGGCTAGGGGAGTCTGAACCTTAAATGGTGCTAGTTCTTCAGGGGTCGCTAGTGTATCCTTTGTCTGCAAATTTGGAAACATTTCCAACAATGGAGCCATATATTTCTCAGCATTGTATATCTTTCCAGAAGCTAAATATATATATGTGCCCTTTCCAAAACCCATTCCCCTAAGCATCAGACCGACCTAAGAAGAGAGAGAAGTTATGAGATGGTTAAAGAAACACACAAAACTTGAGTAAGAGTAGTGCAAAATCGCCCAGTTGCTGATGAACAAGTTAATCACGTACAGTTGTTCAAACAAACAGCGAAAAAACATAACTAGACGGTAACCAATAGAAAGGGAAACCATACTGCTAAAATCTATTGATAATCGAGGTGTTAACCAGGAATGCTTATTTGTTTCACCAAACGCTCTAGGGGGAAATTATATTGCCAATTGACATGCTGAGAGTCACTTTGACAAACAACTGTGTTGTTGATACAACAATCCTATAAAAAAATGAGTTATATACAAAACTACCAGCTCTTGCTTCTTTTAGATCAGTTAAAAAAAAATACAGTAGAAAATAGGAAGCATAAGGAAGCAGAAATACAAATAACATAAGTTACCTCTAAGGGAGTAAGGGGGCACTTGCCATTAAGCCTGATGGCTCCAGGAAGTATGGTTCGACCAGGCTTTGTAAATTTCCCTTTCCAGCCTCTTTCCCTAGCTGCTCTCATGTCTCTATCTTCTTGTGCACCACCATCAAACACACAACAAGAGAAAGCAACCATGTCCTGATCATGTGAGAATAATTTCTATGAGCAGTCAACATATATATTGGATAGAAATTATGTAACTACTGTCAAAGCGAATCATAAACAAACACCCCTTGATTCTGATTAAACGATAACTAACCTCCTCAAAGCGCAGATGTACAGAAACATATTTCCCACCATGGCTTGCACTCAGCTCTTTCATTCTCGCCACCAGATTTTCCCCCATTGTCAATATGGGGTTTGCAAACCTTAGACCTTCATAGTTTGCCATACATCTAAGGCGTTGGACAGCTGCCGGTGCATCAAATGACAAGCGGTGCGCAAATGGAGAAATCCTTACAACCCTGTTCATGCACCAGATGTAAAATAAATAAAAAACACAAATTAGCCAGCAACTAGTTGCTCAAAAACCAGCTACGGCATCCAAACTATAATTCATTCAAAACCAGATGTACACTTAGCATATACTACACCACTGATAACTTAAAAAGCTCAGTACATATCATACAGGCAAACCTTAATCATGATAAGAGAGAACAATTAGCTTCTGGATAATATATGTTCAGGTCTGAGGCCAAGTAGAACAAAACTTAACAGTGGTACTACACTCTATGCGCCAAGGACACTAGAATGTAAGAAAATAAAATGATAGGCCCAAATACAGCTTTAACAAGAAGGTGAAGCATGAAAAAACATTAAACAATGAGAAACTGGTTAGATTTAAGTCAGCGTAAGATGTGTGGGAAGAAATTAGCATTGTAGCCTTACTTTTCTTCAAGTAGCCTGGGGAGGACTACGTCTTTGTAATATTCAATAGGTGACCATGCTTTTACTCTGAAGTTGAATACATTGCTGAAGTTGTGATCAAACCGCTCCATAAGATATACTGGAATCTTGTCAACCACCCTCACCTCATTTTGTAAGGCAGTCATAAAAAATTCTTGATCATAAATGTCTTTGAATTTGCTGAAAGCAAGTTAAGCCAAGGAAATATCGAGCTGATTACTAAACTGTAGCAAGGTAGACCGAATCTAGTATTCATCAAAGATAATCCTTCACCTACTGTGCAAGGAAATAATTACAAAGAAAAAGAGATTCAGCATCTATTGGTATATGTTGAACTAAGTATCAATTAAAAAATGTTGCATCATGGCACGATGTGAATCAAGAAAGTGCAAGAACAAATAACTTGAAAGCAACACAAACATGGGGCAACTCTGGAGAGCCTTATGGAGAAATGGCTACAAGCATTGTTGAAATGATCATCAATTGCACTATCAGAAAGGCTCTAGCCATTAAGCCTATGCAGAGATTAAAAACAACGACCAGACATGTTGGATTCTGTACTACTATTACTAAGCTTGTTGATTTTCTTTAGTGGCTGTCTGTGTTCTCCAATTTTTTATTTTTTATTTTTTGTGGGGGAGGGAAAGGGCGGGGGAAGCATGAGGTGGTAAAGACATGGACCCACCTGGGATCTCTCCAGATGCTGTGGTAATGGAAATTAGGGATCAGGAGTGTTGCATTCAGATAGCCAGCAACAGCAACTGCATTGCATATCTACAAAACAATTGTTACACTGTCAACCATTAATTATACTGTGACCTCGCAATTCAGAAGACAAAAATCACGTAAATACAAGCATAGTAGGAGCAAAGTGTAAGCATGAAACTAACCGAAGTCCTTTGCTGATTCAAACCTCCATTGGCCTCAACATATATGTACCCATTAGAAGATGGTATACCTATCATAATAAGGAGACCAAATTGGTTAGTAACACATAAACAAACAAGACAACTAACAAGGAAAATGAGAGACAAAGACACATCATATGGAACAGTTTGAGGCAAAGAATATAGAGACACTGTTGCCAGTGCAATTCGGGCCATAGTGTCTCTCAGACCTCCTCTTGACTTATGAAATAACAAAGTTATAAAGCAACTAATACGTGCATTGCCCTCGTAGTTGAAACAAATAAAAATGCATTAACTCTTTGAAAATATTCATACCTTCCAACGACTTGTTCACACATGGTTTCCACTCGCCACTTTTGTATGAATTTTTCCATATAGTTAACAGCTGCAATATATTCAATATTCAATGTGAATGGCAAAATAGCAACAAAGAAAACCAGATGCCACATATGTGTATGTAGTCATAGAAAGGAAAACCAAATGCAAAAGAAATATCAATTGGAAACTTAAAACTGGTTCTAAGTATCTTAAGAGGACTGTACTAGCATGCCCTCTTGAGATGACACATTCACATCCCCTTTGTCCCAGACCCAATTTCGACCAAATGGCGGATTCTTTAGGAAACCAATAGACATTCTGAATAGTTTCAATGGCACAACAGACGGCTCTAGAGTTCTCCCAGTAAAACTACAACCCTTGAAGAGGGTCAGATCAATGACCAAGTATACGACGCCACAGATTCAATGCAAGGTTAGGCCAAGACATAACATAGCTTCTCCACCATACTACTTATTAGTCAGTTCCTACTGTTGAAAGAGCAGCCAAAGACAAAGATTTTGGCATCACAAGAAGAATGTGGCTTTGCCCTTTGAAAAATCAATTAGATAAGCCAAGCCAATGCAACATAACATCAAGTTAAGAATGACTACAGTATAAATTCTGAATTTCACTAAAAGCTAAGAAAGAGTCACGGGCAAAAAAAGACTTCAGCTACCTAAATCTTGGACTGCATCAACAACCGTCCAACAAGCCAAGTCAATAGATTGCCTGCTGCAATCAGTTTTATCCTACAAGTTATCCACCAGAGCAACCTGAGATATTGAACCATTTCTAACCAGTCCTATTCCTTAAATAACTGAGATTAAAAGACAGTCAGTATTCACTGCTCGCCATTCCTCGGCGTTTAGTTATTCTCATAGTGAGAAACAAATGGAGCAAGTTTCGGAACCAGAGAACAAGAGGAGAAACAAAAATTATTGTGATTAGCTTCAGCAGAAGAAACGTCCGGAAAGAGCTAATTCAAGTGATTTAGGGCATCACTGTTACATAGAATTGGCCGATTCAAAGAGCATAAACAAATCTATATCCAAGCTTCATCCACTCCTAACGTTTTCAGATTCAAAGTTCTCTGGATGCCGAAGTAGAGTGCCCTGGAAATCGACTGGCAGGAAGCAGCGGGAAGAAAGCAAAGGAGAAAATGAACTCACCGCATCAGCAGAAGAATTATCGGCATCCATTTCAGGTCGGAGCTTCTCATAAACGAGGGGGCTCTTATAAATCGAACCAGGAGCAGGCCTATGAGAAATCTGGGGGACGACATCGAAGGACACAGTCCCCATGTAGAGAAGCATTCCCGAGATGTAGATAAGCGGGGCGAACAAGAAAATCCCCTGGCGACGGAGGAGAACGGAGAGGAGAAGCCAAGCAAGGCGATGAGCTATGGTACGCTGAGCCGCCGCCGGAGGGAACCGGCCAGGCTTGGACCGCCCGCGGTAGCGAGGAGAACGGAGGGGAGACTGTGGTGGCGACGGCGATGTGTGACCGCTGCTCGGGATCCGTTTAGAGGCGTGCATTTAGCAGATCTCTGATTGCGCTCTTGGGCGTTAGTGCCCCCCCTCTCGTCCCTGTCCTTGTCCCCCCTCTCTCTCCTCAGCGTGCTGGTCTTCTACGACGACGTCATCATGCATAGGCTTCCCGGTGACCTCTCCGGTGAGGCTCTGCAGCTGCTCTTCGTCGGAGCTGCGGTTTCTTTTTTTTTTTTTTTTTGTATTTTTGTTATTCTTCTCTCGGTTTTGCAGAGGGAGGGAGGAGCGCGAGAGACAGCACGTGCTGAGAGGAGAGGAGAGTAGAGGTACGTGTTATGCAAGGTTGTCAAACCGGTTTATGCCGGTACGCCGGTTTCACAAATAGAATGGTTCTACCAGTGGTACAACCCGTTCATACCGGTTTATACCGGTTTTAATAAAATTTCATCTTATGAATATACTAAGCCAACAGTCACTATAACATGAACCTCATAACTTGCAGCACACCAATTCTATTGCTAATTATATAGCCTAGCCAATTATCAATTACAGTTATAGGTGGAATTCCGGAGCAAAGCAGCAACTAACCAAGTAACTCAAACTTGGTTGAGATTAGAAAAAGCTTAGCAATTCAAACTTGGTTGAGATTACAGTGGGCAATCTAATTCAAACTTGATTGAGATTACAGTGGGCAATCTCGTAGTGGTTGCCTGGTTGGGGAATAACAAAGTAGCAAACAACCCACCGATTGGGCTTGGGCAACTTGCGAAAGGGAGGAAAGATTAGGGCTTTTATATTTTTTAACAGCAAGTCCAAAACGCCAGCGTTTATGGTAAGTAACCGGAATCTAAAACCGGTTGGACCATCCGGAATTTCCGGTTTTGACCGGAATTGACTGAAGCATCATATCGGTGGCATTCCAGCCGGTTTCACCACCGGTATCGGTTGAACCTGGTTCAACCGGCCGGCATGCCACCGGCATGACAACCATGGTGTTATGTTATGGAGGTAGGGAGATACGGCCTGGGTTCCTCTGCTTAAGCTCAAAAATTAAAGCATATGCTTAAACTAATTCTATTGGTTGATAGAAGATTATGAAGTTAGTAAGGAGTTATTTGTTTGAATTTGAATTAAATACCCTAATTAATATAAAACTTTCCACTTAAACTCAAAAGGCCTCCATAGGGTTTACATTTTTGGCAGCCTTAACCCTTACCTTCCCAGCAACCTTCCGCTCGCCGTCTCCCACTCCCGCTCTCTAAACCGCTTCCTTCGGCCTGGGTTTCTGTGCTTAAGCCCAAAAACTTAACATATGCTTAAACTAATTCTATTGGTTGATAGGAGATTAGGAAGTTAGTAAAGAGTTAGTAGTTAATAGGCGGTTAAGGGTATTGAGGTAAATGAAATAATTTATTTGTTTGAATTTGATTAAATACCCTAATTAATATAAAACTTTCCACTTAAACCCAAAAGGCCTTCATAGGGTTTACATTTTTGGCATCCTTAACCCTTATCTTCCCAGCAACCTTGCGCTCGGTGTCTCCCACTCCCGCTCTCTAAACCGCCACCTTCGGCCTGGGTTCCTGTGCTTAAGCCCAAAACCTTAAGCATATGCGTAAACTAATTCTATTGGTTGATAGGAGATTAGGAAGTTAGTAAGGAGTTAGTAGTTAATAGGCGGTTAAGGGTATTGAGATAAATGAAATAATATATTTGTTTGAATTTGAATTAAATACCCTAATTAATATAAAACTTCCCACTTAAACCCAAAAGGCCTCCATAGGGTTTACATTTTTTGCAGCCTTAACCCTTCTCTTCCCAGCAACCTTCCACTCGCCGTCTCCCACTCCCGCTCTCTAAACCGCTTCCTTCGGCCTGGGTTCCTGTGCTTAAGCCCAAAAACTTAAGCATATGCTTAAACTAATTATATTGGTTGATAGGAGATTAGGAAGTTAGTAAGGAGTTAGTAGTTAATAGGCGGTTAAGGGTATTGAGGTAAATGAAATAATTTATTTGTTTGAATTTGAATTAAATACCCTAATTAATATAAAACTTTCCACTTAAACCCAAAAGGCCTCCATAGCGTTTACATTTTTGGCAGCCTTAACCCTTCTCTTCCCAGCAACCTTCCACTCGCCGTCTCCCACTCCCGCTCTCTAAACCGATTCCTTCGTCTTTACACCTGTGCGCCCTCATCCTTCACCATCGAGCAAGCTTGTCCTTTAGCTTTCTTCGCTGCTTTCATCCACCACCCAAGAGTCTTCGTCCATAGGGATCAATCTTGGTGTGTGTCCTTATTCCAAAGCTTCTTCCTTTTCTTATATGATAATCTGGACAAGGAAAACAAGAGGCCGCTAATAGAGCTGGACCACGCCACGACGACCCTTCTTCGTTCACTTGTTTCCGTACGGACTTGGCGATGGAAGATGAAACAGAGCTTAATCACGAAGATCTCACCAAGATCGATCTCCATTACTTCTAGATGACAAAGCTTGCTTATCATTTTTCATAGGAATTATTTACAAGTTTGAGTTTGATTATATGTTGTTGTGTACTGTGTGATGTGTTTACATTAAAAAGTGATGAAAGATTGTTAATAATGTAATCATAAAGTATTGATGAAAATATACTAAAAGCGTTAATAATGCTTGGACATATTCATTAACAAGTTCATTTCATAAACACTAAAAACGACAATGTAAATCAATGACAATTGATCGCAAAATGTTAATAATGTCATTGGAAGTCGTTATAAAAGTCGATGATTGGCTAGTTACGAACATGACTTGAAAATGTGAATTGTTATCAATGATTATGAAGAAATTATTAATGTTATGCCAGAATTGTTAATAAACATGTTGCAAATCATTGAAAATATTATTCGATTATTACTAATTATGTGGTATCATTTTAATAATTTCTTCATAAGTGTTGATGACGAAAAATGTAAATTCGGTAACAATTTATCCAAAATGATTAATAATGTAATCGTAAAGTATGGATAAGTATATTGAAATAGTTAATAATGAAGAAGTATATGAATAATAATTCATGTTGTTTGAGCCCGGGCGACTGGGAGTCGCTCGGGTCCAAAGGGTTTGGGGCGTCAGACATGACTTTGAGGGGGTAGGCGCCCCACCTCAGTAGAAGTGAGAAAAGAGAAGAAGTATATAGAGAGAGAAAGTAGAGAGAAGTTAGGGTAAGAGTAGATAGATTGCCATTTATGAGGAGAGAACTCCTATTTATACACATCTGAGGGTTAGGTAGTGGTCTGGGCCCCTGCCAAGCCATAAATGTTGTGGTCGGGCGCCTCAGACCTTCTGACACTGTACATTGTACTTTTTGGCAGAGGGTGTCCCCCTGTACCTTGTCTTTGCTGATGTCAGGTGTCTGACCTTGTCCCTTGTCTCTTGGCCTTGTCTTTTGCTCTTTTGTCTTCTTTTCTTCCTTATGCCATTAGCTAGGGAAATGCTTCCTTAATTACTACAGTACCCTATCAATTGCCCCTTTTGGCGATAGCGCAAGTATTGCGGTATCGTCAAACTAGTATGCACTTTTTACAATAAATTAAAAATAAATAATAAATAATATCAATATGGGAAAGGAATGTCTCAGTAAGAGGTTAGGGAACGAAAAGCAAAAATGCTACCCTAAATAGACCAGTTGCTACGATTCTGGGCCAAGCCCATTGTTGGAGTGGGGCTGGCGACTTTGGAAGGAGAAAAGGGTGATGGATTGGGCCTTTTGGGTTACCTGCTTTGGAAACCGTGCGTCTCTCTGTCCCTATTTAAGCTACTCATCCCCTCTTATTTTGCCTCTCCCTTTCATTTTCTCAAAAACCTGCGGCTCTCCTCCCTCACCTCTTCGGCGCCTCGCCTGTTAGTGTCACTAGTATGCGCCACCCCCTGACGCCTCCGTTTGCTCGTTGGTTCCCCCGGCAGGCGCCACCCCGGATGAGAGTCAGGTGAGCCATCCGCCCCATGCTCTTCGCTAGGCGCCTTTGCCAATTGCTGATCTTCTTTCTTTCGTAGGCGCCGCCCCTCCATACTCCTATTTTCCAGGCGCCGCCCGTTCCCCATCACCATGTTCTATAGAGATTGTCGGGTAAGCTTCGCCTTCTTCTTCCTAGGCGCCACTCCTCGCGGGTCTGGACTTCGCCATCCTTTCCTAAGCGCCACCCACTTGTGGGTTTTTATTGTGCTTTGTCTATTTTCCGATTGATGGTCTTGCCTTCCTAAATTGCTCCTTTGTGATGACTTGCAAGGCGCCGCCCCTCTTTCCTCTTGCTAGGCGCTTCCTCTTTTTATTGTTGATCTCCCTTTGCCGATGTTACCTATTCCCATTTGTTAGGCGCCCTCTTTTACGAGTTTTTCTTTGTGTACTTTTGAAGGCGCCTCCTTCGCTAATTAGCACTCATTGGGTTATTTTAACACCTTTTTCCCCTTGTGCCTTTTGTTATCTGGGATTTTCCAATCAGGTTATTGCCCTCCACGAGGCGTCGCGCGTCGTTCCCTCTGGAACTTCATCATTTTCCGCTAGGTAAGGCTCGACCGCTTCTTTGTTTGTATGAGGCTTCATTCTCCGCGCCTCACTCCTTGTTTGCGCTGTAGGTTTCGATTTCAAGGCGTCGAAGACGCCTTCCAACACATAGTTACGAGGCGTGACAACGGTTTTTTACCCGCGCGTTACCGACTTAGGCGTTGCACACGATTCTCCTCCAAGACCCGCTTTGCTGCCCACCTTTCTCTTATGGCTTCCAATAACTCGCAACCCTCTACTTCTATGGGTGGCGCCTCCGTTCCCTCTAAAGGGAAAGCCAAAGATTCTTCGAGCCAAGTCAGGAAGATGGGTAAGTAATGTTCATCCCCCTTTGTGTTTTAAACTTTACACGGTAGCATTGGTCTTTAGGAAGTTTTAGTTGAATGTACAGTGTATAGAAAAGCTAAGTGGAGGCTTTCCGAGATCGTCAGCGATGCTGAGTCAGATCCACAAGCGGAGTCACTTACTGAGGGTGACATGTCTAGTGTGGAGCTCGAGCCTGAAACGGGCAATTTTCGAGCCACTAACGACGCCGATTACCGCATTTTGTGATGGCGTGGCATGTGGGGTGGCCAGGGGCCTCCCTCTTATGTTCGCCTCCTTGGGCCTGACAAAAAACCCAGCGCGGTTTATTCGGAATACCTAAAGTGTGGCTTGAAGTTTCCGCTGGATCCCATCTTATCGGGCATCTTGGAGATGGTTGGGTGTCCTCTCAGTTTTATATCTCCCTCACTTATTTTCCATACTTGCGCCTTCCGATTGATCTGCAAGCGCCTGGGCTACGACCCTTCCTTCCCCATCTTTCGAAGTATATATTCTTTAGAACGAGGTAAGCATGGTTGGTCAGCTTTGAAGCGTGACAGCAAGTATCATGGCCGGGTCTGCAAAGGTTCACCCAAGCTTCCTAGCAAGTGGTATTGTTCATATTTCTTCATTAGGTCGCGCCATGGTACTTGGCATGCATCGACGGAGACACCTCTCTTGACTTCGTGGAACGAAGGTTCGGACGAGGCGTGGGCTAAGGACTTTTCCCTTGAGAAGCCTGAGCGAGAACAAAAACATCATATTCTTCGGGCGCCTCCGATAGATTTTGCGAGAAAGGGGAGAGAGCGCGCGCCCTGGGAGAGCTCTATGATCATGGTATATTTTGCTTACAACGATTTTTATTTTGTCTCCAAACTTATGTCATTTTCATAACTCGTTTCCTTGCAGATTTTGACTACTCCAGGTTGGTGAAGATGACGAAGAAAGCGCATTGCACCTCTAGGGTTGGGTCGCAGAAGGCGCCTAGCGCTCCTACTGGGCGTGTGCTTCACTCCTCTGAACAGGCGCCTGATGCTACTAGGGAGGCCACGTCACCTCACTTGTTTCTTCCTTTGGATCCGCGTGACCATCTTCCGGAGAAGACTTTGGGAAAGCGTCCTGCTTCCATGAGTTCCCCTGCTGAGGTCAAAAAGAAGAAGAAGAAGATCGGACTTGAGAGTATTGATGAGATCCTGGCGCCTCCGCGCTCGAGGCATGTGGTGAAGCCCAAAGAACTTGTTCCAATCTCTCCCTCTGCTGCACTCAATGTGCCGAGCGCGTTCACTTCTGCCATGGAGTTGAAGAACTTCCTAAAGCCTACCCTCGACGAGGGCACCTCTCCTGCTGGCTCGGCGTGTCAACATTTGTTTCAGGTATGCTTTTGTATCCTTATCCTTTCTTAGCTGAAATGTTTATGTTCTCTTCCTTACGACGCTGTTTTGCTCAGGCGATGCTTGACGTAGTGGCTCTTTCTGACAAGAGTCTGGAAAATCGAGAGCGCGCCCACAAGAACTACGTACTGGCCTCTCAAATGAAGACTGACAAGGCGACCCTACAAGGCGTCAACTCTCGCTTGGAAAGTGAGTTATCGTTGGTGAAGCAGCAATTGTCTGACTCATTGGCCGCCGGGAGCGCCTCCGCTCGTAAGGAGATGGAGAAGGAGCTAGCACTTCGAAAGAAAAAGATTGAGGATTTGGAGAGGGAGTTGCAGGCCGTGTCTACAGCCAAAGGGCGCCAGCAGGTAAACTTTCCTTCGCGTGCCCTCTTCTTCAATCGGGGGGTGGTGCCTCGTATTTTTGGCTGCCATCTTTTGCATGGGCTAAATTTTTTCCCCCTTTCTAGGAGGAGTTCAGGAACAAGCTAGCCAAGGAACGTGAGGATACTGTGGATGTTCATTTGGCGTCAGCGGAGTTTTGTGACTGGAAGCGGGATCTTCTAACTGTTGTGAAGAAGAGAGCTTTCATTGGTATCACAATAAGGTTCGGTCCGATAACCCTGACATGAAGTGGGATACGCCGGAAGTCTGGCAAGCGATGGATGATTACTTCTTGTCTCTTGGTACGGACAATGAGCCTTCTGATTCTGATCCGCTCCCACTAGATGAGGGTGACTCCTCCGCTGATGACGTCGAGATTGATGTTGAGGAGGCTGGTGACGAGGAGGTGGGTGACATCGTCGAAGGTGTTGTCGCTGCTAGCGTTGGTGTTGAGGAGGAAGGTGGGAAGGATGTCGCTGCTACTAATGGTCAGGGTGGCGCTTCAGATGGTGGTACTTCTGACCACTCTAGCTCTTCCGATGATGCTTCGAGCAAGTCGGACTATTATGGTTAGGGTGTTTCTTATTACTTGTTGCTTGTTTGAACAATGTTAATGGGCTGGTCGTGTTGACGCCTTTTGCGTATTTCGCCTTTGCATCTGTCCTTGGAGGGTGTTTATTTTGTTTTCAAACTTTGTTCTCGCATTTCTTATGCCCCTCTTGGCTTTTAAGGAATTCGTGTCCTTCCATCGCTGCAACTCGTTTTTGTGTATTGGTTAGGGCGATTGTCCTAGACCAGCGCTGAAATCTCCCTACGCGTACCCCTGAAAAGATGGTAACGCGCTTAGGCTTCTCCTCGACGGAGGAAGCGAGTTTGAGTATCCCGTGTGTACCCTTGAAAAAGAGATAACGCGTTTAGACTTCTCCTCGACGGAGGAAGCGGGTTTGGGTGACCCCTTCTGTCAAGGCATGAATTTTGCGAGGGATGTGACCAAGGTATCGCCTCTCATGGGGACTCGTAAGACGAGCGCCCGGAACTTGGATGAAAATCCAAGTGTAAGCACTAGGCCTCTTCCGCTAGTCGCGGGTAAAGGTTTTGTTAAGATGATTATTTTAAGCAAAAATTGATTTTTCTTACGTGTACCCCTGAGAAGGAGGTGACGCGCTCAGGCTTCTCCTCGGCGGAGGAAGCGAGTCTGGGGAGACTCCATCTGTTAAAACAGGGACAGTTTTGTTTTTCCATGGTTACTTTTTGCAGTAGTGAATTTCCATTCCCTGAGCAAAATAGGAAATTACATGGGGATATCGTCGGGTCGCGCCTTTGAAAGGGCACGTCTCCTTCCCCAAAAATTCCTAACATTACTAACCTAAATTGAAGAAAAAACTCCTTCTAGCACACTTGTGCCTCTCTTAGGGTGTCTTTCGGCTACGCCTCTCTGAGAGCGCCCCTCCTCCCTACAAAAATGTCTACCTTTGGGTCAAATTAAAGTAGAGAAAAAACGGCTAAACATACTTGTAGCTTCCTTAGGGTATCTTTGGACTACGCCTCTTTGAGAGCGCCCCTCCTCCCTACAAAATGTCCACCTTCTGACTACTCTCCCTGTGCTTCTTGCTCGCACATGTACTTCCTCAGATGCTTTGCATTCCAAGTTTTGCTAACACGCTCCGCCTCCATGGTAGCAAGCTGGAAAGTGCTTGGTCCTATCACCTCCCTTATGACGAAGGGTCCTTCCCACTTGGCAGCCAACTTTCCGTGATTCGGGTTAGGGCAAAATACCTTCCTTAGAACGAGGTCTCCTTCTTCAATGTGATGAGGTTTAAGCTTTGAATTATAATATTTTTCCAACTGCTCCTTGTCCTCCGCCAGCTTCTGAAGCGCCTGCCCTCTTCTCTCATCTAGCATGTCTAGCTCACGGGCCATGTTGACGTTGTTCCCTTCATCGAAGCACTAAACACGCAAGGTGGGCAATGTTACTTCCGTGGGGGTTACAGCTTCCGCACCAAAAGTTAGGGCGAAGGGGGTCTCGCCCGTAGAGCTTTTTGGGGTGGTGCGTAGCGCCCATAGGACATGAGGAAGCTCTTCTACCCAATTTCCTTTCTACTCGTGAAGACGTTTCTTCAGTCCCTGAAGTATGGTTTTGTTTGCAGCCTCCGCCTGTCCATTTGCTTCCTGGTATGCCACTGATGAGAGTTTGAGTTGGATATTCTAACCTTGACAAAAGTCTGCGAAGGAAATGCAATCAAACTTCTTGCCGTGATCGGTGATGATGGAGTTGGGAATGTCGAATCGCGAGAGTGTTGTTGAAGACAAATTTCTCAACTTGCTTTGCTGTGATAGTGGCCAACGGCTCAGCCTCAATCCACTTCGTGAAATAGTCCACAGCCACTATAAGGTATTTCCTTTTTCCCGAAGCCTTCGGGAAAGGCCCAACTAGATCCATTCCCCATTGGGTGAAGGGCCAAGGACTGATGTTTCCTTGCATTGCGGTAGCTGGGCGGTGATGCTCTTTGGCATGGGTTTGGCATGCATGACAAGCCATAGTGAATTGTTTTGCATCATTTCTCATGGTTGGCGAGTAGTACCCTTGCAACTTAAGCGTTCTTTCCAAACTACTTGGCCCCCCATGTCCACCACACACGCCCTCATGAATCTCGCGGAGCGCCCACTTTGCCTCAGCCTTTCCAAGGCACTTGAGATACACTCCTTCGAACGATCGTCGATGCAGCTCAGAGCCGATGATGGTGCAACGCGCCGCACACCTTCTTACTCCTGTGGCCTCCTTCGGATCTGCTGGGAGAGTATCATTCATGAGGTATTCAACGATTGGCACCCTCCAATCTTGCTCTTCCTGACCGATATTAACACTATTTACCCCCATCCCCGGGGTGGCGCTTGGGCTCTCCTTTTCGACAATTACATGTCGTTCCTCCTCAAAATCAACAGCTGTGGCTTATTTTGAGAGCGCATCTGCGTGCGCGTTGTCTCCTCGTGTTATATGAGAGAGCTTCCAATCCTCGAAACCCTGCGCTCTCTTCTTCGCCTCTTCCACATATCGCAGCAAACAATCTTCCTTGACTTCAAATTCTCCCAACACCTGCTGAACCACCAATGCGGAATCGGATAAAACGTCGAGGCGCCTTGCCCCCAGCTCCTCCGCGATGCGCATGTCGTTGATCAATGCCTCGTACTCGGCCGCATTGTTGGTTTTAAGTGTTGAGAATCGTAAAGCCACCTCGTGTGTGACACCTCCTGGTGTTTCCCAAACTATGCCAGTGCCTGCACCCGTCTTACTTGCCGCACCATCGAAAAACAGCTTCCACCTTCCCTCATCGACCTTTATTGGCTCAATCGTTCCTTCTATTACAAAATCCGCTAGGACTTGGGCTTTGATTGAAGGACGAGGAGCATACTGGATATCAAACTCACTTAGCTCAACTGCCCATTTGGTTAGGCGCCCTGAGGCGCTCGTGCTGTGAAGAATTCTTTTCATTGGTAGGTTGGTTAGTACAGTAACCGTGTGTCCTTGAAAATAGGGCCTCAGTTTCTGGGCGGCAGTTACCAGTGCTAGGGCCGCCTTCTCGATGGCTGGGTACCTCCTTTCGGTTGGAATGAGCGTCTTACTGATGTAGTATACCGGCTGGTCTGCAAGATCTCGAGGTGACGCTTCACGAGCACCGCGCTAATAGCCACCTATGATATGGCTATGTAGAGGAACAAACGCTCTCCCTCTTTTGGAGCTACAAGAATGGGAGGATTCACCAGCAGAGTTTTCATCTCTTTGAATGCTTTTTCACATTCTTTCGTCCACTTGAACTTGGATTTTTTTCTTTAGAGAGTTGAAGAGTGGGGCGCACCTATCCGCCGACCTGGGAATGAATCTGTTGAGTGCGGCGAGCTTACCCGCCAATGCTTGAACTTCCTTCACTTTCCTTGGCGACTTGAGTTCGGCAATTGCCTTTATCTGCTTCGGATTAGCTTCAATACCATGGCGAGTTATCATGAAGCCCAAGAACTGACCCGCACTTGCCCCGAATACACATTTGAGGGGGTTGAGCTTCAAATTGTGACGCCTCAGGTTCTCAAATGTCTCCCTTAGGTCGCTCAGGTGGTCACCCTCTTTCTTACTCTTGATTAGCACATCGTCCACATATGCCTCCATGTTTTGTCCTATCTGTTCCCTAAAGACTTTGTCCACCATCCTCTGATAGGTGGCGCCTGCGTTCTTTAAGCCGAATGGCATTACTACATAGCAGTAGTTCCCGTATGGGGTCATGAACGCCGTTTTCTCCTGATCTTCTTCGCTGAGAGGGATTTGGTGATACCCCAAAAACATGTCAAGAAAGCTTAACATCTCGTGATTAGAGGTGGCATCGACCAGCTGATCAATCCTTGGCAGTAGGTATGGGTCTTTTGGACAGGCTTTGTTTAGTGAGGTGAAGTCAATGCATATTCGCCACGTCCCATTGTGTTTCTTGACTAACACTGTGTTTGTTAGCCACTTTGGGTATTGCACTTCCCGAATAAACCCTGCCTTAAGTAACTTCTGTACCTCTTCCATCATGGCTACCCTCCTTGCCAACGATGCTCCTCTCCTTTTTTGTTGTACAGGCACACTTTCTGGTTCTACGGGAGCTTATGTCCCATAAGATCCCTTGAGACGCCGGGCATGTCCTCAGGGCTCCAAGCAAATAGATCCGCGTACTCTCTTAACAGGTTGACCATCGGGAGGCGCATGTGCTCAGATGGGCAGAAAGTCGGACGACTCGGCTTGGGTCGTTAGAGTCTAATGGTAGCTCTATCTCCGAATCAACTGCTCCTGGGCGTGGCACCTCAGTTGGCCTAGCATCAATCGTGTGTATTTTCAGTCAGTGAATGGTCGCTGCATAACACGCCTTTGCTGGTTTTGCATCCCCCTGGCTATCCCCATTCCCTGGGGTGTTTGGAACTTCATTGTTTGATGAAAGGTTGAGGCTACGACTCCAAACCGAGCTAAGAAGGGCGTCCCCAGAATGGCATTATATGCGGATGGACAATCAGCAATGTGGAAATCCACCGGGTGTGTGACACTTGGCTCCTCATCACCTACCTTGACCTTCAAGCGCGCCGTTCCTAGCACCTTCACTTTTGCCCTGGAGAAGCCAACAAGTTGGGCCTCTGAGGTTTGCATAGTATCAGGGGGTGTCTGCATTTGGCGCCAACAAGAATAGAAGAGTATGTCACCGGAGCTCCCACTATCTACCAGTACTAGGAATACCTTGCACCCTTTCACTTGTACGTTGATGACAAGGGGGCTCTCAGATGGGCCCTCCGGAGGATAGTCCTGCGATGTAAATGATAAGTCGGGACCCTCTTGTTTTGCGATCTTCATGCACCATGCGTCATTCGCTTGCCCCTTGCGCTTCTTCTTTCGGCTAGGCTCCCCCCTGCGATGGTTCTTATCTCCTTGACATTTGGATTAGGACCCATGCGCTCTTGCACCGGCGGCCTTACGTTGGGAGAGCGGATGCGCTCCCGCGGGGAAAGAGTTCCCTGTTCTGCTTTTTGGAACATTTCTCTTACTCCTCCTCGATTAGAGATTATCTTGAGTGCCTTTTTGAAGTAGTGGCAGTCAACGTGTTGTGGGTGCGCGAGTTGTGATACTCGCAATACATGTTTGCTGCCCCCGAGATTGATTCGTGTTTTCGCAGTTGGTTCGGTCGTTGCGAGGTTCTTATGAGTTTGCAAGAACGTCTCTTCTTACCCAGACGTTGGGACGCCTGGCATCATCTCGCTGGTCTGGACTCCGCCTTCTGGTCCTTGGCGCCTCGCCCTCCCACTCTGAGCTGGGCGCCTGGAGCCACCTTCTTGTTCCTCCTCCTTTGAGCCCAGCGCTTCCTCCATGAGGATCGCCTTCTGAACTTTTTCTTCCAGTTCGGCCACCTGTCGTATCTCTCTTTTGGCTAAGGAGTGTCTTAGCTCTTCGTTAGTGCTTGCGTCCATCAGGTTGGTGCGCATGAGCGGAGGGGTTAGGTCTTTAACATTGGTCACGACCTCCCACCACCGCCCCATGAAGTACCTGAGGCTCTCCCCCTTTCTTTGCTTAAGATTGACAAGCGCACGGACATTCAACGTTTGCTTCTTCTGCTTGCGTACTTTGTTGTAAACAACAAAGCGAATTGTGCAAAGCTCTGAATGATGCCCTCTGGGAGCGAGGAGTACCAGCTACTGCAACCTCGGGTGAAGGTTGAGGGGAATGCCTTGCACAAGGCGGCATTAGACGCATTGAGAAGTTGCATTTTCCGACAAAATGCATTCAAGTGATCCTCTGGGTCGGATTTTCCTTCATATGAAGGTAAGCCTATGCTTGCGAAATTTGGTGGGATTGTTGTTTCAAGCACTCCTCTTGACAACGGCTGCCTAATGATTTGGACGCTTCTTTCTTCCAAAGCGCCACAGTTGGGTCGAGCATACCTCTCTAGGTAGGCGTCGTCGTCAGCTTCAATTACGTCCTCTTCTAGTGAGGCGCCCACACCCTCCCACGCGGAGCTCATGGGTAGCACCTCAGCCTCTTGCATCTTTCCTTTGAGGCGCCTCCTCTCCTCTATGGTTTCTTGGGGATTGGGAGGCACGTGATCATTTGCTTTTGTCAATGCCGACAACGCGGTCATGACTTGATCTAATTGACCTTGCATGCTCGCCATTTGATGCGCTTGCTTTTCCCGGAGCTTCGCCAGTTAACACCTCAGGCGCTCCGAGTCTTCTCCGTCTCCTGATGGATCATCGTCATCGGATGCTTCCAAACCTTGGATGGTAAGTGGTTGGAGGTTGATCACTTCTCGACCAACAACTTGTTTGAGAGGGGTCTTTGTTGGTGTTGGACTCCTTTCTTCCCCCTTCTTTGAGTTTGTAGCATCTTTCAAAGTCATGTTTGGCCCCACGGTGAGTGCCAATTGTTTGAGCCCGGGCGACTGGGAGTCGCTCGGTTCCAAGGGGTTTGGGGCGTCAGACATGACTTTGAGGGGGTAGGCGCCCCAACTCAACAGAAGTGAGAAAAGAGAAGAAGTATATAGAGAGAGAAGTTAGAGTAAGAGTAGATAGATTGCCATTTTCGAGGAGAGAACTCCTATTTATACACATCTGAGAGTTAGGTAATGGTCTGGGCGCCTGTCAAGCCATAAATGTTGTGGTCGGGCGCCTCAGAACTTCTGACACTGTACATTGTACTTTTTGGCAGAGGGTGTCCCCCTGTACCTTGTCTTTGCTGATGTCAGGTGCCTGGCCTTGTCCCTTATCTCTCGGCCTTGTCTTTTGCTCTTTTGTCTTCTTTTCTTCCTTATGCCATTAGCTAGGGAAATGCTTCCTTAATTACTATAGTACCCTATCACATGTCATAAACATTAATAGTATCATTAAAAACATTAATAATGCTAATGGAAGTCGCTACATAGTGGGTGTGAGCGTTTTTTATTCCGAATTTTCTTTTTTAAAATCTTAAATATTAAATTTGGATTCCAATTTAACATTTAAAATTTCAATAAACACTAGATAATAATATTTAATTAAATAATTCCGAATTTCCATTTAATTATGAGTTTAGGAAAAAGAAAAATTGTTTTAATTATTAATAGCATTAATTATTTTCTCATAATACCTTATTTACCCTTAACAACCTACTAACTACTTACCTTCCATAAACTAACCAAAGTCCTATAAGCCAATAGGAATGCTTTAAGCATATGCTTACACTTATAGACTTAAGCACCGGATCCAACCCGGGGAGAGACTCCGTGGGAGGGGAGCGGATATGGTGACAACAACATATTTGTTGTTATTGTAACAACAACATAGGTGGACCAATAGGAACCCACCATTGTGCATACTTTTCAATTCCATGCGTTGACTAGGGTAAAAAACAAAGGAAGGGTATTTTTGTCCTGACGAAATATTGCAGCTCCTTTTGTCCAAAAAATTGCAACTCGTTTCTCTCTCCCCGCTTTATTTTCTCTCCAATCGCGCGGCGCCGAGGCTGGCGACGAGCACCTGATCGCAGAAGCTACCGCAACAGCGGCGACGGCGGAGCGAGCTCCTGATCGCAGCTAAGACATTGACGATGGACGAGAATCGTGTAGATGAAGTTTCTGTTGATTTTGTAAATGCTCAACAACTCCTGCAAATTGCAACATCTTCTGACAATGCAACAGAAAGCGGATATCAGCTGGAAACCTCTATTTCCACCAACAGTGCCAACAATGAACAAGAAGAAGGTACGCTCAAATCAATCCTTCCTGTTTTCTTACAATGAGCACCACAATCACGCTTATACAAGCCATTTACCATATCATAAGCAGTACCAATCAAACCGCCCACAAAAATCCCACAAACGATACGAAAAGCATCGCCAAACACTCCACATTCTTCCCAAAACAATCCACAGGAAAAAAAAAGACAATCAACCAAAACACTTAAAAATCAAACCACAAAACTTCTTAAATGCACCAAAACACCTCTAATGCACACCATTAAAACCTAAATCGTTACATTCCGCAATCTGTTTGTAAAACAAAATCATACACTGTAATGCAAACCATAAATGTCATAAAAGCATCATGAATAACTACAATGCAAACCACTTTTCACTTTTCTAGTAAATATCATCGCAAAATGAGATGATCAAGTGCTCATTTCTTTCATCATTGCTTACAGGTGTGACATCAAACAGATCCGAGTCAGACTACACTAGTTTGGGGTTGGCATTCAAAACCATTGAGGAAATAAAATAATTCTACAAGAACTATGCTCACGACCTTGGCTTCAGCGTGAGGGACATGGGAGCTGTCAAACGTTCTACAAAAAGACAGTCAACCAAAACAACACGATATGCTAGGTATTGCTGCAGCAAAGAAGGATACAAGACGACAAGCAAGTCAAATCCCAAGAATAAAGGATCAATCGATGTCAAGGCTTATCAACGTGCTGTACCAGAAACTAGAGTTGGCTGCCCAGCTATAATCAAATTCAGATATGATATCAAGAAGTATGAATGGCTGCTGGACAAGTGGATAACAGAACACAACCATGATCTCCTCCCTCCAAAATTCAAACATCTGTTGAGGTCAAACAAGGGGATCTCAGAAATGCATGCAATGGTCGCACAAGTGCATGCAGATTGTGGAGTTTCACTATGGCAATCATATGAGATGTTCACCACAACTTCAGGGGGAGGGTGAATGTAACTTTTACCCCTCATGATCTGAAGAACTATATCACAGGGACAAGACAGAAATCAATGAAACCAGGCGTAGCAACTATACTTCTTGAACATTTTCGCCAGGAAGCTTACAAGAATCCATCATTCTTCTATGAAATTGAGGTAGATAGTAACGAAGATATTGCAAGTATATTCTGGGCTGATGCAAGAATGCGGTTTGACTACAGTTTCTTTGGAGATACGATCAGTTTCGACACCACATACAGGACAAACCAGAATTATCGTCCACTAGGTCAGTATTCCTTGCACTAGTTAATTTTCTTGAGATTTCGAAGTTGAATGCATACCAAACACTACGCAATGCATACCATAAGTAACATAAAACCACCCCAAAAACTCTTAAAACAAACGACAAAAAAAAAAACATGAAACATTCTTTTCCAGAATACTAAACAGAAACCTCCTAAACCACACTAAACACGCCATGTATATCATAAAAGACAGCCTGCATTTGTTTCAATACTTAATTATATGTTGTTCTTTTTTCGAAGTTGAATGCATACCATAAGTAACATAAAACCACCCCAAAGACTCTTAAAACAAACGACAAAAAAAAAAACATGAAACATTCATTTTGAGAATCCTAACCAGAAACCTCCTAAACCACACTAAACACGTCCTAAAACACACCATATATATCATAAAAGACAGTCTTTGTTTGTTTCAATATTTAATTCTATGTTGTTCTTTTTTTTATTTTTAAATTACAGCTTTATTTGTTGGCTTCAACCACCATCGCACACTCTGCATCTTCGGGGCTGCTCTCCTATATGATGAAACAACCGCTACATTCAAGTGGTTGTTCGATGCATTTTTTAAATGTATGTCAGGAACCCGACCAACATCAATATTCACCGACCAAGCTGCTGCAATCGCCGGTAGGATTAGATCCATCATTCCTGAAGCATTCCATGGCTTGTGTACTTTTCATATCAAGCAGAATGCAATGAAGCATCTCGACACCACAAACGCAAACATTCTAGAAGATATGAAATATGTCACTTTTGGAGTAGAAAATGAGGAAGAATTTGAGTACAATTGGTCAAGGTTGCTAGACATATATTATCCAGAAGAAGGCACCAATCCAAGGAACTGGTTGGATTCAATTTACAAGGTGAGGAAACATTGGTCTTCAGCATGGGTTAAGGACCACTTCACATCTAGTATGCGAAGCCCACAGCTAAGTGAGTCTTGTAATAGCAACCTCCGAAACTAACTTCAACCAGATGACAACCTAGTTGAGTTCTTCACATACTTCAACAAGTTGCTCGAACGGAAAAGATCAGACAAAATGGACATGGATTATCAAATGGAAAACAAAGTCCCAAACAACATGTATGTATTACTTCCTTTATTTGAACTTTTTATACTGTAGAATGCATCCACAAGTCTCCTTGTCCAAACAAAAAACAGCAGCAAACACCCCACAATTCATATAAAACCCTACCAGAACAGTTGAATACAAACCAGACGCCACCTAAACCAACCCAGAAACCCTACAATCCACACCACAGACCACCTAATACAACCCATAAACACCACAATGCACACCGCACGAGCTTAAACAACCCATGAACTCCACAATTCACACCACACACGACTTAAAATAACCCATAAATCCCACAATCCGCACCACAAACAGTACAATACATACCATAAAATCATTAATGCAGACAAGATGCTTATAAATAATTGTATGTTGTATGTCATCTTCCAACAGGTATGACAGAAGCCCACTTGTTCAGCAAGTCGCAAAATTATACACAACTAAGATCTACAGTTCTTTCCTTGAGGAGTATTCAGAAAGCCTTGCTTTTTTTTGTGTTCCGGAATGAATCTATGGACAGAGATGGAATGACAGCTTATGAAGTGAAGAAACTGGGAGGATTCGGCAAAAGAGTCGTGTTAGTGAACAAAGAGGAGAAGAAATACAAGTGCTCATGTCGTTTGTTTGAAAGTTCAGGCTGGTTGTGCAGACATGTAATCAGGCAGATAGAGATGGTTGGACTCAATGGTGATGATATTGAGCAATTGAATATCCCTAAGGAATAAATTCTGCCACGGTGGACGAGAGATGCCAAATCTGGAGAGAAGTTCACAATAAACACAACAGAATGTGATGCAACATATACTTATGCAGGGAGGTATCAAGAACTGTGTTCTAGCATGGTTATCCTAGCAACAAAAGTCTCAATGCATGACAAGGTCTTCTCAATGGTTAAGGAAAAGATTGTAGAGCTCACTAAACTAACTTTCCAAAGCCTCCAGACTCAAGAAACTGAGCAAACAGTACCTGGTAATTTCACACATCTTGTTAGCATCCCTACTTATATTCTCCAGTAATTTCTTAATCCAAGCCACTAATGATCTAATCCAAACCATAAACATCTTAATCCAATCCACTAATTGCTTAATCCCTACTTATGTTCACCAGTATCTTGCATGTTGCTTTTTCAACAGTTGGAACCACTAGTACATCACCCTCACTAAGCGCTGCTGCTTCAACTACGAATGAGAATGACAAGTATGCCAATGTGAAGGGATTCAAGGCTCGACATGACCCATGGAAATCAAAGAAGAGGCCAAAAGGTGGACTTGAGATAGTGCTGGAGAGGGCTAGAAAGCAAAGAATTGATGAACAGGCTGCCAACAAGCGTTACAAAAGCAACAATGAGTGATTAGTCTCCTAGTTGTTATCCATGCTTTTTTTATCTGTCATAAAATTTTAGATTTCAATGACAACTATGAGACAAATATGAACAGTTCCAGGTTTTGATAATATTTGAACAAACAATAAAACCGATGCAGCAAAACAAACTACATATGTACTAACACACACCATACATTGTATAACCCTGGGGAAAAGAAACAAACTATAAACCTTATGAACCACACTACAATACCCGTTAAACAATCCTCTTGTCTTATAATACACACCATACACGAAGAAAACAAACTACAAAACCTCTTAACAAAACCAAACCACAAACATATGAAAACTTTCTAGAACACTCATTAAGCAAACCACATATGTACTAGCACACACCATACATTGTATAACCCCGGGAAAAAGAAGCAAACAATAAACCTTATGAACCACACTACAATACCCGTTAAACAATCCACTTGTCTTATAATACACACCATACACGAAGAAGACCACGGTTCTTCTTAATCAACCCACAACACTTTAGATACTGAACACAAAAGCCTTAATCAACACCATTAACACACTAAAACACATATTAACACACTGAAATCTGAAACTGTTCTTGCAAATGCATCCTATAATAAGCTAGTCCACCTTGCGATCAAACTCCAAACTCTTCTTCTTCACTTGTTCAAGTAAACCGTTCTCCTCGTTCAGCAGCAATGTTAATGTGATCTCATCCCGCCTCTGCTTGACTTGTTTTTGCCACTTCCTCATAGCTGGCACCAGTTTGCCTTCCCAAAACTCAGCAAAATTCATAATAAAAACAGCATAGTCAACCCCACCATGTTGTCTCAACCCTCGCATTCTAACCCACTTGAATTCTTCAAATTTGCAGGGCTCTCGTCTACAGGCAGGAATGTATTCTGTGGCATAGTGGACCACCATATCCGCAACAGCACGAAACTTGGAATCAAGTTCGTCAGGGTAAAGGCTGTTAAGATAATCATACCGTTTGTTCTTCAGATTCACTACATACATCATGTAGTGTCCATCAGAACAGTGGGGGAACATCCACTGCATAGTACAGAACAAAAACAAGTCAGTACTTCAAAAGCACAATGAAGAAAAAAAACACATGAAACAATGTAGCAAATGTGACTAAAAAAAATACATACAAAATCACATTATGAGAAGTCCAAACCATCTGGTATCCACTTGCAACTTGTCATGATTTCGTCAGTCTCTTCAAAAAATTAGGCAGTGGTCCAGACTCTTTTAGTATCGTTTGCACTTTTTGCTACAAGGTAGAACACACCATAAACACATTAAAACAAACCAGACGTATTATAATGCACACCACAAAAACCCTAAAACAAACCAGACGTATTATTATGCACAACACAAAAACCTTAAACCAAACCAGACGTATTATTATGCACACCACAAAAACCCTAAAACAAACCAGAACTAGCAGAAAATGTAACTCACCGCCAGCCCTGAATAGAATACCCATCTTTTCAGTTGCCCTCTTCTCACTTGCTCCCGATTCAGATAGGCAGCATAGCAGTCAACAACATCCACACTCACCCATTGCCCATGTGCCAAAGTCTCTGTGTCCTTTCTAAACAAGGAATTGTATCCATCAACACGACTGAAAAGGAGTTCCTTCCTATTTTTCATAATTCCATAACAAACAAAACAGTTGGCATTAGAAAAGTATTAATAAGCACTATATATAAAAATATATACAAACAACCACATATGTATGAAATCTATACACATTAACTTACAAGTTATTCGAATCCCTTGCATATCGCAACACAACACGCTTCAACACATCATCATCGACACCTAATGAGCCTCCTGCATTCTTCACTTCCAATGTTTTCTAATTTTTAAAGCAACCCACAAATTAGATAAAGCAGGACAAAAAACAACTAACACAAACCACAAATGCAATAAACCACACTACAAAAACAAACCAAAACTAGAACATTGTACAACAAATTACCTTTCCCTTCCTAAGACTCTCAACTAGTTGACTCAATGGTAAATCTACACTATCATCACCACCCTCAAGTACCTCACCAACATCAGCCACCACATTTTCACGAACATCCCCCATAGCAGACTACAGAAACCACACCACAAAAGTTTTTAACAAAACCAGATATATGTAAACCATACTACTAACAAATGCAAAACTACCTACTACAAAAGACATGCCAAACAAACCAAAAACAGTATAATCCACACCACAAATATTTAAACACAAAACAGTAAAAATACCTTTATGACCTTCTCAACCAAGTTACCCAACTTAGCAGCGTCAACACCATCAACATTGTCATCTCCATCATCACCTTGTCCCTTTTCCTCACAGCTATCCATCTCCACCATCACCTTCTTAGCATTCTCAGAATCAACATTTTTTTGTGTCATCTCCATTGTCAGATTATCAAGATGATCATCAAGCCCCTTTGGATCTGATACTCCCTTAGCATAGGTATCATCATTAGCAGTGCTAGCAGGATCATTGTGACCAACATTTGGCGACACAGCATCAGCAGTACAAGCACCATCCTTATCCATCTCCATTGACAAATCATCAAGGCCCGGGGACTTTGGATCTGATACTCTGTTAGCACCAGTATCATCATCAGCATTGGCAGCAGATGCATTGTGACCAACATCTGCATTGCGACCGACATCATTGGTTCCCTTACCAACAACAACATCCTCAACACTATCAGTGAAATTGACATTATCTTCAGGACTATCCTCTGGTTGCTGCCCCTCCAGCATCTTTATATGGTCATCAACTTGTTCAATGCTCGCACTGTAATGACTAGCCATCCTCAACAAAGCCCTCTTATAACTTTCCATGTCATTCTTCAACTGATATGCCTACAAAAACACGAAAAACAGCCCAAAGTTAGTGAACAACCCAAAAGCAAACCATAAACCTTCTAAAGAATCTCACATTCCTTTTAATGAACACCTAAGACACACGTATACAAACCACATATGTTTGAATTCTCACAAAAAAACACCTACCAAATGATGAGTACCATAAAGTATTCTTTTAACGAAGTAATGCAAACCACTATTCTTTTAACAGAAACCACAAGTACACTAAAGCAACCCAAAGAACAAACAACAGAAAACACAACTAACCATCACATGAATAAAATAAAGTATTCCTTAAACAAACTAATGCAAACCACTATCCTTTTAAAGCACATTGAAAGTACGCTAAAGAAAGCCATAAAATGAATAACACAGCATTATCACTGACTTCTTCAACCGAATGAATACCATCCAAGTTGATGTCAAGATAGGGAAGCTTCGGAAGATCCCCTTCCCTCTCCATATCAAGATCATCCACCGGCCTTTTCCTCTTTGTACCCTTCACACGTCCTCGTCCCATTGGTTGACTGGAGGTTGCTTGTTCTTCCTCCAATACATCTCGATGACAAATAGAGAGATGACTTTCATCCATCAGTACTTGAAAAGTAACACTTGCGACTTTGTACGACCTGTGCCTACAGGTCGGTATGGGCAGCTCAGGGGGGTTCTTCAAACGGTCAAGAATCGAAATTTGCCACATATACAAACAGACAGAAGTCAAGTAACCACAAACAAACTGTGTCAGAAAGATTATAATACACACCACATAAATGATAAACTATACCAGAAAATTATAACAGGGGGGAAACTAAACCATAAATATTTTTAAACAAACCATAAACATCTTCAAGCACACCACATTAGTCAATAAACAAACCATAAATGATAAACTGCGGAAACATTATAACAAGGGGTAAAAACCAAACCATAAATATTTTTAAACAAATCATAAACATCTTCAACCACACCATATTCGTCAATAAACAAACCATAAATGATAAACTATATTAGAAACATTATAACGGAGGGGGAAAAACCAAACCATAAATATTTTTAAACAAACCATAAACATCTTCAACCACACCACATTCGTCAATAAACAAACCATAAATGAAACAGTAAACCAAAATTCAAAAAGAGGTATATTTATCTACTTACAAAAAGAAGAAGAACGTCACCAGGGAACTTTGATTTTGATTGAACCACTTCAACCATACTTCCATTAAAATGGTCAGCCACTGGGACACAGAACTGCCTCCATAGCATACAGCACAAAAAGAACCCTCCACTTCTTATTGTCCTTCTCCTCTTCCAATACCAGTTTAACGTTCGTCAATGTCGCCTTTCATTTCCTAGTATTGGAAAGCCCTAACTCAATTCCCCACTTGTGCCTCTGGGCTGAACTGAACATATCCAGCTTAACAGCATAAGGTCCACACGGCAAACCATAGACTCTCTCCACATCTGCCTCTCCAATATTAAACTTCCCTGACCGAAGCAGCGGGAAAGACCTTGAACTGACATCAAAACTTTTGCAAAGCCATTCAGTAAAATTATTCGAGAGTCTCGTAAGCTTAACCCTCGACACACCCCTAAAACCCAGAGGATCAAGCATCCGCAGTTTTTCGTCAGTTGTACTGTCAGCATCCATAATGGCAAGAATCCGATTAGTATTACTGCGATGCCTCTTATCCGGCTTTCCAGGCACAGGAGAAACACCATCTTTCTCTCGCTTAGGTGTTGGAACTTTTTTCTTTTGTTTCCCCTTTACTGCACGTTTCTTAGCAGGTGCCATGCCTACAAAGCAACCAAAACACAAACCAACAGAAGCAATCTAATACCAGAACATCTAAAATGCAAACCATCAAAGGCCTAATGCAAACTATACAACCATGAAAACAATCCAATAATCAAATTTAAAGGAGACAAACAACAACTGCAAATGAACCACCAACATCAGCCTGGAAATACACCATAGTTGTATTAAAAACCTACAGAAAAGCCCCAATCGAACCCACAAACATGCTAAATGTCACCAAACACAAAGCGCACCACCAAAATAAAGAACAAAACAACAGAACTACTGAACACCACCACAAACGACTCAATAATCAAATGTAATGGAGACAAACAACAACTGCAAATGCACAC